TTCTGGGGTGCTGGAAGATGAGGACGCTAAGGGCTCCCCCTTCTCGGAACTGGGGCTGAGAGTCTGTGGTCACAGGCCCATCTTGTGTTGCACAAGGTTTCCTGTTCAAGAAGCTGAACAGCCCTTGGTCCAGAATGTTATGTACAATAAACAGATTTTACGGGCTTCCTGATTACAGGCCACAACTCCTGAGAAGATGCCCACTGGCTTTCCCCTTTGATTTCCTTGTGCTTGTGAATTACAGGTACCCCAAAAAACCTAGCCAGAGGCTTCCCTTTAAATCTAGACCCCAAAGCCAAGATGTTAAGGAGTGGGATTCACTCGACTGCCTTTTCTGTTTAATTCTGTTCAGTTCTCTTTGGTTGCCATGCAGGGAAGGCCCAGCCTCCCAGGGTCATGGCTGATCTAACCCTGGTGGATTTTATTCTCTCAGAACCCACATTTCCTACCTACCTTACGTTCTCTGTCAACCACTTACTGTGGGGTCAGGGTAGGACAGACCTCTTCGCATTCCTCTCCAGTGTTGACTTGCAAATGCTCAGGATGTGGTTAAGGGTACATGAGAAGTCATAGGGCCACTTCTCTCTGAGACTCAAACACAGGTTTTGCCAGATACTGTTGTAAATTCCTAAGCACTAAGCATTATGTGTGTTTGTCATTATTTTTCGCCACGGAAACTCTTTAAGGTAGATATATGTGTCTTCTCCTTCTCCACCACATCCTAAAGAAGAACACCTTAGAGCATCCTTAGTTCACTCTTCCCCCTTCCTGTCCTTATCAACCCATCACCATGTCCTATAGACTTCTACCTTCTGAAAAGATTCTGTAATCTGGTCACTTAGTGGGCTTCCACTATTGGAGCTCTTACACAGGCTCCCATCCTGGGAGGGCATTTAACAGTTTCCACTGGCATTTCAAATTGTCACAGCTGTGGAAGTACAGCTGTCTGAGTCTGCTGAACATCCTGAAAAATATAGGAATTCCCTGTTCTAACCCAGCCCAAGATACCATAAGTGCTGAGCCTAAGAAATCCTGTTTTATTTCCACTTGTTAGGACCAAGGAAGGGACTGACAAATCTTTCTATTCAATTCTGTTTTCCCACCCAACTGATATTCTGCTGCAGCCAGAATGATCTTTTTATATAAACATAGATTAGGTCATGTTACTCTCTTGCTTGAAATGACTGAATGTATTTGTCATGGCTCTTTGGGTGAGGCCAGGATTCTCAACTTGCCCCTCATATGATCTTTAGCTTCACCAGCCTCAGCTGTAATATTTTCTTTTCATCTCTCTGCTTTAATGGTAGGTACACATAGAAGCCATCCTTAATTCAACTCATTTAACTAGTGCTGGAGAAATTAGTCAGTAATATTTTTTTAAGAGTTTAGTAAAGCAAACTTTGCTCTGGACCACTGTAACAGTTACAGGAATCCCAGGAATGGGAGAGACAGTTGGTAAAGGAGTTTGGGCTGGACTCCAGTACAGCATGGACAAGTGAGAATTTACACCCAAGGAACAGGGTATGGGTTAGCAAGTGGGAAATTATCAAGAGAAAGCATCAGAAGTAAGGGGCAATTTGACTAAAGCAACCTGACGTGATTCTTGCTGAGAATGTGGTGAGGTGACCAGATATCACTTGGGGGTTGGTAATCAGATATAGAGGGGGGGGGGCGTTTCTTGTCAAATTGACAACAGGATTCTTTACAAAAACTGAATTAGACAAAGAAGTACACAAATGGGCTTGGGAGAAGACTCAGAGGACTGGCTAAATTTTGGCAAGCAGAGAATCTTTGTTACTAGGTGAGGCTGCAAGTGTAAGTATCCCTGATATCATGTTCCATTTTTACCTGTTTCAATCTGTAATTCTACATTTGTGTGATGTGACTGTCTAGTGCTCCACCCTGAGCCCCACCAAGAAGGATGAATTGAAAGAAAGTGGGAAAACAATTTTTAAAGGTAGAAGGGTTATAGGTGATATTTTGAAACACTACTCCTTGGCCACTATGCTTAACAAGGAGAAGGCATCCCTCTGAGGTTGAATAGACCATTGCTGGGCACAGGTCCTTCGAGAAGTACTTCTGTATAAAATCACAGTGGCTTCTGTGGAAGGCCATAGTCTGGCAGAGTCTTTTGTGATAGTTTTTTTCAGGAGCTTGAATCCACAAGAATTCTTCCTTCCTATTTGTTTTCTCATTTACTTATTTTGTTTATTCAATTAGAGTCAATACATGTGACTGCATTTTGATTCTGACAACTTCCACTTTTTTAAAACAAAATTTCAAAACAATAGGAGAGTAACCATAGTAACAATGGTCAATACATTTCATATTATCTTTAAATTACTCAGAGTAAAGATATTGGCATTTAATTGCCTAAGCAATATTAGCACAAACCTTTCTTTTCAGTGAAATTAGTATATTTTTGTATATATGTATATATATATATATATTTTTTTTTTTTTCTTTTGCTTTTCCCTTCCTTTTTCCCTCCATTCCCCAACCCCAGTTACTCTTCCCCTTTGAAGTTTCTCCCCATTTTATAATATCATTGTGCATTTTGGATCTCACTTTCTTTCAACCTGCCCATAGTTTCTCACAGCAAGTGTAGTCCCGCTGTAGTGCTCAGCTATTCCTGAGTGAGGACCATCTACTTTGGAGAATCTTTCTTTCATCGTTTTAGATTTAAAATGATGGTGGCCTGACAAGAGGAGGGGAGGGTTAGAAAGAGGAGAGGACTGCAAAAAAGGAGAGGCCAGGAATGGAGGTTGGGACAAGACAGGACAATGACAAGCTGCTGTCACTGGAAGGGGTGATTTCTGCAGCTGACTGTTCCCTGAGGGCCTAGAGGTCTGGATTTTAACTAGACCTCAGTTTAAATCCCATTCAGCTTTATAACCTTGGGCAAGCTGCTTCTCTCCGCACTTTCTTCATTAACAAAATGGGGCTAATGGAACATGTGAAGACGAAACGCTGCCTGCGGATGCGCTTGCGACCTTGCTGGAGTATTCAAAAGGATTACCTCCTCTGCCATTCATTGAAGCTTAACGCAGTACCTGGGGGCTGGACCGCACGAGGGGCCCGCCCACTATCTCCCTTGCTTATCTCCCATTGGCCGGTACGCCTGCCAGTTCCACAAATCCCCTCGGCTCAAGCGAGAGCGGGCCGAAGCGTGAGCCAATGGGCGTGGGGGTTGCGGTCTCCCAGATACAAGTGTAAACAAAGAAGGCCGCGCCGTCCAGACCACCCGGGCGACTAAGCCTGGGCCTGGCGTTGGCCGCCGGCGCCGGTGGAGAGAAGGACAGCCCATGGCGCAAAGCAGGGAGCGAGAGGACGCTATTTACTCTGGCCACTACGCGGGCGGTGCGAGTCTGTCTGTGAGGTGCGGCGTCACGCCCGGGGCCTGACTGTGGTCTTGGGGAACCCAGGACCCACTAGCTCGCTCTCTTTAGCCTCTGTCTACCCCATCCGTAGGCCCGCGGTCTTCTGCTCGCCCCTAACCTTTCCCGCGGACTCTCTCCATCCTATGATTGAGTAGCTGTACCCTGACCGTCTTTCCCTCTACATTTTCCTGCGACCCCGGTTCTTGCTAGTGTCCCCAACGTTGTTCTGCCTCAGCCTTCGTTGCTGCCCGCTCCCTCTGGCTCAGAATCCCCTTCGTTAACCCGGTTCTCCAACCTTTCCTACATGCCCCCACCCCACTCCCAGGCAACCTTTTGTTTTCTTTGACCTCTCCACTTTCCCGGAGTTAGGACGTCCACCCCTGTCCTCCAACTCCCTTTAGCATTTTGCTTTGGAAAAAGTAAAGCCCTGCAGACACATTTATTTCCTCCGTTCCCGCCCTCAGTTCTCCCCGCCCTCTGCTCCACGCAGCAGCCTCCTTCTGCCCTGCTGTACTCCCTTCCCGAGGTCACGCCTTAAACCGGCGGCCTTGGCTTGCTTTGTACATCGTCTTCCGACATAGTGTCTTTACCTCAAATGTCTGCCTTCTAGCGTATTCCACACACTCCTTACTTAAAAGGATGTGCCTTTAATGTTCTTTTTAAAAAAAATATTGACCGGGGGCTGGGGATTTAGCTCAGTGGCATAAGCGCCTGCCTTGCAAGCAGGCAGTCGTGGGTTCGATCCCCGGTACCGATAAAAAGGAAAAAGACTATATATATATATATATATATATATATATATATATATATATCACATTTCTCTCCTTTTTTGGTCTGCATTTATCCATATTTTTAGGTCTAAAACATGGCAACATCTGTGTAAAGAAGCATTTTTCTTATTATTCAACTACAAAGTATGTTTTCCTACACAAAGTTGTTTTTTTTTTTAAAGTTTTCATTTTTAAACATAAACTAATTACAGAAAGGCCCAGGATGAAGCCTGTTTTCCATGAGAATGATGCTCGTTTCGCTCTGTGGTGGTGTTGCTCTCTCTCCCAAGTACAAAAGACCGTGGAAACCCTTCTGAGACATCTTTAGGTTCTGTCAATTTTCTTTACTGAAAAGCTGCTGTATACAAGGCCCTCTGGACCCTTGCAACTGTGGGTCTCCTTTTACATTTCTGTAGTTCCTTGACTCAAACTGGTCAGCTACTCAGATGGGTTTTCATTTTGGAAATTGTCTGAGGCAGAAAGGGGGTGAAATAGAATAGATGTGCTTGGATGATTTTTTGTTCGCTTTGTTAAAGAAAAATTATTTGAGATGTATTGTATTGATGGTAACATTTCTTCTCCCAAAGATGGGTGCAAGGATTCTCTAAGCAGAAGGTGCACTTTGTCAATGACAACACCATTTGCTACCCTTCTGGAAATTATGTCATATTTATTAATATTGAAACCAAGCAAAAGACGGTACTCCAGTGTATCAGTGGAATTGTTGGCGTCGTGGCAACTAATGTTCCTTATGAAGTTGTGGCTTTTTCAGACCGGAGGCTGAAACCCCTCATCCACATATACAACTTTCCTGCACTGACCAGAAGGACCAAATTAAAAGGTATTCTGGAGGGGACTTCCTCTGCTCCAAAATGGAAGAGTTCACTGTAAGATTTGACCAAACCTAGTTCTTACAAATAAAAGCGATTTCCCAGTTAGTAGAAGGGTCCAAGATTACTGGAGACAGAAGCCGGAGAGCCAAGAATATCATGAGAGAAATTCCCCTATGAAGGGTATGGATTATTCAACAGTAATGTTAGGGAAACCCAGTATCTAAACAAAAGTATCAAGTTAGAAACAAAAGTATCATATTACAGTGTGCATTAAGCCATGTATCACATGAAAATAAGCATTTAATATAAACACACTTGAAAAGCAGAAGAAAATAGGATAGAATATTGAAATGATTCCAGGATAGGTAAGAGCATTCCAAACACATTAAAAATTAAAGGATTGACATCTTAATTACGGACAACCTTAAAACTTATGAAAATAACTTATGAAAAAAAAAGGCTATGAAAAGTTAAAAAAGGCAAATATCGGACTGAGGGAAATCTTTGTAACAAGTATCATCAAGTACTCAGAGCATCCATGAAGCACTAAAGAAAAAGGACAAATGTTTCATGAGGACAATGGCAAAGGAACTCATTTAGACAAATCACAAAATTATTAATGATCGAAGACATCAAAAGAAGTTACATCTCAGATGGGCATGGTAGTGCAAGGCTGTAATCCTAGCACTCTGGAGGCTGAGACAAGAAGATCCTTGGGACTTCAAGGCCAGCTTGAACTACATGTTGAGATCCTGTCTCAAAAAAACCAAACCAAACAAAAGAAGAGGTCCCACCTCAATATTCATCAAAAATTGGGTAATGACTTGCTTACTGTTATTTTCCTGCTTTTCAAGGTCACAATTTTTTAATGATTCTGATTTTCCAATTTCCAGTGCAGAGAAGTTAGCATTCTTTTTTCTTTTCTTTTTTGTCTTTTTGAGACAGGATCCTACTATGTAGTTCAGGCTGCCCTTGGGCTCGCTGTATAGCCTAAGCTGGTCTCAAACTTGCAATGATCCTCTTGCCTCAGCCTCCCAAGTGCTGGGGTTACAGCATGTGCCACTGTGCCCCGTGTTAGTAGCATTCTTGTTGGCCAAAAGCAGTAGTCTAAACTGAGTCCATCTCTCTGGGAAATTTGTATTTATGCCAGAAGTCAGTTCAATTTTAATTCAGTAACCAGGAATATGACAAAAGACTTTTGCACAAAGAAGTTAAAAATACCGTCATAATAACGAGAGGTTGAAAGCAGCCTGTATCCCCCTAGTATGCATCTGGTTAAATAAGTTAAAACACCCCACATAGGGTATTATTGCAGACATAAAAATCACTTTTTTTTGGAGACAACGTCCTGCTATGTAGTTAATATAACTGTCTATAGCTGTTTAAAGAGTTGGTCACTATTAAATTGAAAGTCAAATGTGGCTTAATAGTAGAATAAGGAAATGAATAATTACAATTCCCCAAGGGGAAGTTTGAGTAAGTGTTCTGATTATACTTATGCATATATTGATGAGATCTGAGATACTTTATGACTTTTGGATCGTTTCACATCATGTTGGGAAATTTATGGTACAGAACACTCAGTTCTGTGTTGAAGTCTAGAGACAGTGAACAAGTGGTATAATTCACTCCATTATCTTTTACCGTAGATCATAGCTTTGCTCTTAATGTAGTTTTCCATTCGTAGTGTTAAAAGTCACCCAGGAGATCTTTTATTCAGTTCGGTGAACACTAGAATTCTGTGAAAATCACTATAAAAGGGAAGTAAAGCGTGAGAGTATAAATAACTAGAACATGGTCACCAAACCCTTGTAACGGGCTTTATGTTTCAGGCAATGTTCTTCTGGACTACACTTTGCTTTCGTTCAGTTACTGTGGCACCTACCTGGCCAGTTACTCCTCGCTGCCCGAGTTCGAACTGGCCCTCTGGTAAGTTTCAGCTTTCTGCGGAATTCCTCTCGCTGTGTTACACTGATTCTTATGCTTCTGAATTTTCGTAAAAGGAAATATAGATGAAAACCTGAGGTAGGAAAAATGGAAAGAATACAAATCCTAATTGCAAGATAAGATTTCCTGTAGTTTTTAATGTCTAGGCATAAGATTTGGCGGTGCAAAACTATGAGAGTTAGATTGCTGTCTTTCTAGTTTTATAAATATTTCCTTATTTACAAAAGGTCTATCATTTCTTAGGATAAGCAATACTTGTGAGTCGTTAGAAGGTTTTCTATAATGTTAAAATTAAAATGGTCTCCACTTCAGAGCTCAGCTTGAAGTCACTGCTTTTGGAAACTTTAGGACAATCATAGGTTCAGAGAGTGGAGCATTGTACCCTCTTTGCCCCTTTGTAGGTGGCACACTCCTGGCCTGGGCTGGGTCATTCATGTGCCTAGCTTCAATCTGTGATAGAAACTCTTGGGGACAAATTCTGTTTATTAAGGAAAAGTACACAACGTTCCAGAAAAACGGAAGACACTCTTAATATACTAGCATTTCTTTTACAAAATTCAAGGATCTAGGTTCAGAGAGTGACATTTAGCTTAAGCAGAGTTTTAAAAACAGTTTAATTATGGGGTGGGGTGTTGCTCACCTATAATCCCAGTACTCAGGAAGCTGATGCAGGAAGACCACTGTGAGTCTCAGGCCACTCTGGGCTATATTGTGAGTTCCAATACAAAGTGAGACCCTTTCTCAAAAAATAAAATAAAATAAAAACAGCTTAGTTGAGATATAACTGTGCTTCTATAAAGTTTATAGTTCAAGTTTGGACTTAGGTATACAACCATGAAGCCATTGCCATAATCAAGACAATAAACATATCTGTCACTCCCCAAATTTCCACACAACTCTTAAGACTCCCATGTTGACTCTTACAAACATAGACTCATTACTTCCCTGACTTCAGGCAGCCACTGGTGGGTTCCTACCATTGGAGGTGGACGTGGTTCTAGAATTTCATACACAGTGTGTGTTCTGATCTGTCTGACTTCCCTAGTGCAGTATCATTGCTTTGAAACCCACTTACACTGCTTTATGGATCAGCGGCTGTTTGTTCCTAGTCCACTGCTGGACTCCCACACTTTATCTAGTGACCGGTCACTTGCTGATGTGGTTAGCTTGCTAGGGCTACTGTCAGAAAGTATGGCAAACTGAGCGGCCCAAGCTACAGACGTGTGTCATCTCACTCCTGTGGGTCCACAGGCCAGGCAGTGTAAGAGACAGGAGACAAGCATGTGAGTTCTGATAGTTCCCCAAGCAAAGGACTGCACTTGGCTTTCCTAGGTGCAACCTGTGGTTACTGAAAATAATACTTGGGCAAATAATCACCAGGACAGCCTGAGCCCTAGCTCCAAAGATTGCTGTTATACTAAGATGTTGAAAAGTTAAAATAGTTATTAACAAAAATAGTTAATTAAAAGAATAGTTATTAGTAGTATTGTCATTCTGTGCTGAGCTCGTTACCCTAGTAACTAAGCACCAGCACACAGTTATAGATTAACTGACCACTTCCTCCTCATGCTGTTCTGTATACATCTTCGTGCCCCCCCATCCCAGTAACCTGTTTGCTGTGTCAACCTTTGTTCCCTTGGTAAGAGACAAATGATGCTGTGTCAACCATTATTCCCTTTATGAGAGACAAATATTCCTGGAATTGGCAGACCAAGGGCTATGAATTGGCTAACTACCCACTGTGAAATGCCTGTGACCTCCAGCAAAGGGAACAAAGGCCCACCTTGTTTCTGTTTCTCATCGCTATGTACTTCAATGAGCTAATCATAAATGAACTATAAAAATCAGTCAAAATCCTGACTCAGTTGCACAGCTTTGCAAATTCCATCTGTACTGTGTTGCTGGGCCAGCTAAAATAAAAGCACTTCTTTTAAAAAAGACATTGTCTTGCCCCGTTTTTCATCTCATGGGGCCTTGTTTTTTGGGTGGGTTACAACAATTGCCAGCCGTGTGATCTTCGAGAGACTCAGACTCAATTTTCTCCTCCATAAAATGCATATAATAATATCTCCGAAACATGAGTTTTTTAAGAATTCACTGGTAAAAACATGCACCTAACAAAGCCTATTACAAAGTTTTTAGAGTAGGGGTTCAAAATGACCTTTAGCTAATTCTGGACACAGGCTGTTTGTTTGGCCCACAAAATATTTTTTAAGGTGGGAAATTTTAGAGATAAAGTGATCCATTTGACCTCTTTCGAACACAAGAACCCTTGAACCTGTGTTTGCGCAGGGAGCAGTCTGTTGTGGGCAGGGAGTGGGGCTGCTTACACCAGGTACCCGCAGCGGCTTCCACTACCTGGAACAGTGACTAGTGACCACACCACAGGAGCCAGGTATGGCCTGCCACCTGTTTTTGTAGATGAAATTTATTGGAACACAGCCACGCTTCTTTGTTCATAGACAGTTGCTGCTGCTCTGTAACCTCAGAGATGAATTGTTCGCTTAAGGACATCCTCACCTGCAAAGGTAGAGGTCCACTGTCTGGCCCTTTATAGAAATCATTAACCACCCCTGACTTAACCAGGACATTTAATTCCTTTCATTAGCTTCCTGGCCCCTGTGGCCATTAGAATTTCCTCACTGGGCTTCACCCACTGATGTCCGCTGGACATTAAATGTCTCTCCTCTTAGGCATCTTATGGTATACCGAGTCTGAGACTTCTGCAATGAGGCATTTTTGGTAGTGCAAGGTGAGAATGGAGACAGGCCAGCAGCTCCTGCCCACCCCACCCACACTCCATCTTTGTTTGTAACCTTGACGTCCTTGGGAGCTTCTGTTTTGGAAGCCTGAGTCAAGAGGTAGGGGTGAGGAGAGCAGAGGGTCGGGCAGCTGCTGCAGGGAGGACTGGGGACCACTCTGCTGTGAGGAGCTCCCCAGGAGGCTGTCCCTGGGCAGAGCTGCTGGGGGACCCCGCACAGTGGCAGCAGATGAGAAACAAACTGTCTGCCAGGCCTCGGCGCTACCACCCCAGATTTTGGAAGCTCTGCAGGCAGCCTTGTGACACCTTTGGGTTGCTGCATAGAAAGTGAGTGGGATTTAGTCCTGCAGTGGGGGCCAACAGCACAGGTGTCACCTAGTGATGCCAGTGGCAGGCCAGGATCAGAGGGAGCTGGACGCTGGATAGGGAAGATGGCCATCCCTGGTGACAGCAGCTGTTCTGCCCGCCCTGGGGACAGACCCTGGGAGGACCAAGGTTTAAGCTGTAGAAGGATGCATGGCCAAGGAGGTTTTGCCTTCTGGTTTTAATGTTTAAAGGGGAGTGGCTCATGCCTGTAATCCCAGACAGAGAGTGACTGTGACATCTAGGGGGCTGAAGCTTGGGCCACGAGGTAGCTAAGTGCTGTGCTCACCGGATTTCATCAGCAGTACGCTTCCTGAGACAGGACAGATCAGCTCCCCTCTCCCTCCCTTCCTCTTCTTTTTCTCCTTCTCTTCTTCCTCCTCTTCCTCCTTCTTCCCTCTCTTTCCTTCTCTCTCTCTTTCTTTCCCTCTCATGCTCTCACCCATCTCACCTCATCCTCTTACTTTAGGCTCTTCCTAAGGAGCTGGGATTGCAGACATGTGCCACCACACAAAGCACTTCCTGAAATTTCAAATGAGTCAGCCCAATAAATCCCTGCAAAACCTCACGAGACATGCACACTCTTCCTCATTTAAAGAAAAAAAAATTCTAAAGGGGCTAGATATTAAAATAGACTTTCCAAATAGGCTGTGAGCATATGAGACATTTTGTGTTTAAGCCCTTAACAATGGAATCAGCAAGAAGGTGGAGACAAGCTGATCTCTCATAGTCCAGCTGCTACAAGGGCAGTGATCCCATCTGTGAGCACTGTGTCTTTATAATCTAATTCCCCCAGAAGCCCAACATGTGAATTCTGGGTGGACACAGTCACACACAACTGTACCTGAGTGCTTAAAGAACACACACACACACACACACACACACACACACACACACACACGGAGTTAGAAAAATAAATGCCTAAATATAATGGTTAAATTTCCAGAGGTCTCTGTGACTATAGTAGCTTAAACCCAGCAGTTCTAACAGCTGTTCTAACAGCCAATCCAATCATAGCATCATATCTATTCCAGAGTTAAACTCTAACTTACAAAGTCATGCTGGCTTGCAGTTTCTGATCAGTATACCAGGATAACAAAATTACATTCCTCAGGCATGACAGGGGTCAAACAGGTATGTTTTTTATTCATGCAGGCTCATTGAAAAAATGCTGTCTCATCATGAGACATTAAGCCAGTACAAGCTTCCTTCATTTATTTATTTATTTTTGCCTGTTTTTGTTCTTGTAAGCCACCTGCCTGCCTGTGGATAGCCGAAATGCTGAAGAGGGCTTAGCCTGAGGGATCCGAGCTCCACAGGGGTCTCTGTGGGTTCCAGGGGTCTCTGGTACAGAGAGCGCGCTGTGTCATTGGAGCCCCTCATCTATTCCGACAGTGGAGGGTGTGCTCAGGGAAGGCTTCCTGGGGAGCCAACATGATATGTAAATTGCCAGCTGTCTTAGTTTGCTGGCTGATGTGATGATCAGTCTTTACTGTGAACTTAATCAGCTTGAGAGAGACCCGTGATATTACTGAAGCAGACCTCTGGGTCCTGAGAGCGTGACCTCGGGGACCATATTTGGTTTCTGGTCCCTTCCTCTCTGTCTGTCCTTCTGTTTCCTGGTTCCCACATGGTTGGAAGCTGTGTCCACCACAACATTTCTGCCTTTGAACCAGCAGACAGTGGACTGAAGTCTCTGAAAGGTGAGCTGAAACAGACCCTTCAGCCTTTACGCTGTGTGTGTCAGATTGTTTGTCCCTGAGATGAAAAGCTGACTAGCACTGCCGGTTCTAAGAAAGTACCACTGAGAAGGTGGCTCAGACAACGGAGGTTCATTGTCTCAAGTTCTGGAGACCAGAATTCCAAAATCAAAATTTTGGCAGTGTTGGTTCCTCCCAAGAGCTGAGAGAATCTGTTCTATGCTTATAATGAGCATCTGCTGGGTTACTTCAGGGCAATCTCTGGTGTTCCTCAGGCTGTAGAAATGTCACCCAAGCCTCTGCCCTCTTCTTCACATGGCCTTCTCCCTGCTTCTGTCTACCTTCCAATGCCCCTGTCTTAGAAAGTCAGAGTTGTGTTGGATTAGGGACCATTCTAAAGGCTTCATTTTAACTCACTTGCCTTTGCGAAGTCCTTATTTCTAAGCAAGGTCACATCTTGAGGTAGTAGAATTTAGGACCGCAACATATAAATGGGGAGGCACAGTTAAACCCATCATAATACCTCAAAGATGAATAGACATTAACCTTCCAAGAGCATTTCAAGCCCAGGTGTGGCACTTTCGAGGCCATGAGGAAGGTTTTAATTAAGAGATTATGATATGGGAACGAGAGGTTAGCCACAAGAGCAGCAGGTTTGGAGGGACACACATGAGCATGCAGTTGGTCATCCAAATCACAACAATTTTGAGTGTGAAGGGGACGTTATTAATAATTAATACAGAGCACCAAACTAAGCGGGGTTTCTCATGAGCATACTAGAAAGGGGACTCACACTACGCATAAGCTATGTCAAGGACACATCTTTTATCCTAAAAATAAGTAAAAAGCTACCGTGATTTTGATGCAGATCTGTCACAGCTCCACAAATGTGTCCTTTCATGCCAAAGTCAACAGGCATGTCTCTATCTAACCTGAGCTCTGCAGAGCTTGGCATTGCCTGCCACAGCGGCCTTCTGGGGTGGCTCTTAGACGCTCTTGTCACACACCCATCAGAAAATAAATCATGCTACACCTCAAGTTCCTGGAAAACCAAAGCCAATCCAAACCCAATACAAGAAAATTACAAAGACCAGAGTAGAAATTAATGAAATTGAGACAAAAGTAATGCAAAGAATTGATGAAATGAAAAGCTGACTCTTTGAAATAATAGGCCAAATAGACAAGCCCTTAGCAAATCTTACCAACAAAAGGAAAGATAAACCCAAATCAATGTAAATAAAAATGAAAAAGGCCAAAAAAAAAAAAGAAAAAATCAAAATCATAATGGTCACTATTGTAATCCAAAATAGTATGAGTAATTCCTTGAAGACATGTAGTCTTAATAAATTGGAGAATCTAGATGAAACAGATACATTCCTAAATGCAAATGAATTACTAAAACAACCTGAATAATCTGTAACAGGCATGAAATTGAAGCAGTAATAAAAACCCTACCAACTAAGAAAAACCCAGATCCTGGGGGATTCACTAGTGAATTTTACAAGAACATCAGAAAAAAAATCTAACACCAAAACTACTTAAACTCTCAAATGAAACTGAAAGGGAAAGAATACTCCAAAAGTCATACTTGGAAGCTATCATTACCCTGATTCCAAAGCCAGACAAAGATTCAACCAAAAAAGTAAACTACAGTCCCATCTGTTTAATGAACACAGACACGAGGATCCTTAAGAAGATATGATAAACAGAATGCAAAAATCCATACATTATGACTAAGTAGCCTTCATCTAGGGATAAAAGAATAGTTCTACATGTATAATTCAACAAATATAATACCTCTCATAAACAGAAACAAAGACAAAAATCATATGTTCATCTTAATGGGTGCTCCAAAAGCCTTTGATAAAACCCAATATCCATTCAAAATAAAAATCTTGAATATGTACAGAAGGATCTTATCTCTATCTGATAAAAGCCACTTATGACAAACCTCCTATTAAATGGAGAAAAGGTGAAAGCTTCAGACTGGCCTTTAATTCCCAGTGATCCTTTTGCCTCGGCCTCCCAGGTTTTGGGATTTCAGGCACACACCTGGTGACAGGGTGATATTTCTAAAATACACAGTGTTTTATTTGTTAGGAGGATTCAGTTAAGCATAGTTATTTATAAATTTAATATTAATATCATAGGTGATGCAAATTATGTCCCACTGTATGTAAGTTATCATAAGACAATTAGCTAATTATCCTCAACACATGAAATTGAAGTTAATCTATCTTTCTCCCAATGCTGTTTTCCTGCAAGGAACTGGGAATTGAACGTCATCTTATGCAAACAGTCCCAGCCCGGCATGGACATCAGCCAAATGTCCTTTAACCCCATGAACTGGCACCAGCTGTGCTTGTCAAGCCCGAGTACAGTGACCGTGTGGACCATTGAAAAGAGCGACCAGGAGCATCATTTCAAAGCAAAGTAGGAAGCTTCGTTTCTGCCCAATAACCAAGCGGTGGTCTTTGTTTCCGTTTATGTGCTCTTATGGGGCCGAATGGGTGGATTCAGTGTCTTTACACACACACACACACACACACACACACACACACACAGTTATAAACTGGAATATCTCTCTACACATATCATTACCTTGGAGTTGTTTGCATTTCAGAAAGATTCTTTTTGACTTGATTTCCCAATCGGTTTAAGAATCGGGTCTTCTAAGAGCTTTTTCCAAGGTGGCCTAATTTTGTAAATTTGATTTTGTCCTTATTATTTCCAAAGGTGGCTATTGTAGAAAAAGAGCATTTATGGCTTTTGGTTTCTATTACTTTGATTCCCCTACTGAAATCTCAAAAATAAGAACCCGTTGGCTATCGAAGGCACACAGGTTATGGCACATACTCACACACGTCATCCACAAACAGCAGTAGTTGCAGAGGTGCGCCCAGGCGGGTCACCTGTCTAAGATGAACCAAGTCAGAGAGAGACTTCAGGACACACTGTTGACAGTGGTGGTAGTGGATGAGAACAGATGCCTGCGCTGAGAGTGAGTGCAAAGTCTGAGGTGCCACCAGGCAGATGCTTTCAGCCTACTCCATGAGGTCAAAGCCAAGGGCGCTGGGCAGGCCTATCCTCGAATCACCTGCAGTGAACTGTAAGTCCAGTGAAGCAGCTTCTCCATGCCAGAGAACTGAAGGGAGGTCCTTCTCTCAACCCAGTGCTCTTGACGTTCTTTCATACAAGAATCTCTCTATTCAGAGTCCACAAACTGGAACTTTTCGAAAGTGGCGGTGTCTGTCAGATTGGCCCAGGGTAGGCAGTGAATGCACCACACCCCTTTCTTCCTTTGCATCTCTAGATTTTATATTAGTCTAGTTCTGAATGTTGACTTGCGCAGTTTTCCTAAAGCAAGAAAACTGGGAGATGCAGAGGTTTGAAAGGCAGCTGGATACAACCTATATATGTTTATAGCCACACTGCTTTTTATTTGAATTAGTCATCAGTGTTTAAAAGATGAGATATTTCTCATAAATCCAGATTATGGCGCCCTCTTAAGATTTTGGAACCAAAACGATCACATGTCAACAACACTCTTGACTTGTCCCTGCCACTTCAGGGGCAAGCAGTGTCCCAACTGGTCACAGGTCACCTGCCTGAACCCATCAGGATTTATAATTCCTGCTTTAGATACTAATGATGGGACAGTTTGATAATCAATCCTTACATGCTTAAATCACAACCATGTAACTCATCCTGACATGGCACACCGGATTACATGTGTAAAACATGTTGTGAGCGTCCTCTGATGTTCTTAGATCATAGCACTTCTCACCTCACTTCACACTGATACTCACTGATGATTAGTTCTGTTAATCTTCTGGTTCTCGTGTTTCTTTTTCTACAGGTCAATAAAGCTACCTCTGGAAGATGGGTCACTTTTAAAAGAAACAGACCTGCTTTTCCCCCAGTCACTGCCCAAGGACCCCGTCTACGGGCCCGTGCTGCCACTGCCAGCCATTGCTGGGCTGGTAGACGAAGAGGCAGAGACTTTCAGGGTAATTATCTTGCTCGCCTAGCAGGCGTAAGTCTGGGGAAGGGGATGTCAGTTTTCATGCCATCAGACACGCCGGAAAGGGAGGATTGTGCTGGACTTCAATAGAGCCGAGCCAAAGATGCTGCCAGAGACAGACTGTAGGGTTTGGAGTGTGGATGACTGGGAAGATGATGGCAGAAAGGGGGCCCAGATGTGACTCCACCTTGGACTTACCAGCTGTGAGGTGGCAGGAGGGTCCCAGGTGCGAATGCTGGGAGGAAGCAGGCAGGTGGCCCCAGTGCCAGGCAGAGGGTGGAGATGAGACAGATGTTAGCGTCATAAGTACAGAGAGCACGTGGGAGCCCCGAGCAGGTACGATGAGCAAGCTGAGAAAGGAAGCAGTGAGAGGAAAGAGCAAAAGAATAAGTGGACTGAGAATTAGCAGCCAAACGCAGGAGGAGAAGGAGGCTCCTGAGGAGTGGCAGTCCTGAAGCAGGAACGAAGGCAGGAGGGGGGAACACGGGAAAGAATAGGGGAAGCCTTAAAGGGGGGCTTGCCAACAGTGACACTCCCGTCCCTCCCTTCACTCAGGAGATGTCTGGCTGGCTCCTCCCACAGAGCTGACCCTGCAGAGGGCATTGGGGGCCCCAGGGCGACCAACCAGGCACAACACCCCTGAGTTTCCTCCTTGTTAGGCCGCCAGGGCCAACAGCAGCACAAGTAAAGGGAGGCTTTAAACCACCTGCAGCGTGACCGCTGTGGTACCAGAACGAACAAGGGTGAGGAAGGGTGGCCAGGGTGGGACGTCCACATACTTGTCAAGAAAGGCTCTGCGGCCAGGCATGCTGATGCCCCCTGGAGCCCCAGTGGCTCTAGCAGCTGAAGCAGGAAGGTTGCAAGTTTGAGTCTGGCTGGGGCAACTTAGTGTTTTAGTTGAGACTCTGCCTCAAAATTTAAAAGTTGAATAAAACAAGTAAATAAATAAATAAAAGCTGGGATGTAGCTCAGTGTAGAGGCTCTGGTTTCAATCTCCAGTCATACTCACACACACACGGCCTCTAGAGAGATGCCCCTGAACCTGAGACTTGAAGCACAAGGATTCTTTGTGTTACAAGCAGATCAGTGTTTTAGGTAGCAGGAACTGCATGTGCATAGGTCCTGGGGAGAAAGAGATCTTGGCATGTTTGAGGGACTGAGGAAAGACCTGTGTGGCTGGAGCACGATAAATGAGATGCAGATGGTGCCGCAGGGCACAGAGAGTACACAAGGCCTTTGGGATGCAGAGGAGGCGCATGGCTTCTCTGAACCGCAAGGACCTGCTCATGCTGACAATGGTTTTCAGCTGAGCAGGTGATAAAGCGGTGGCCGGTCCCAAACGTTTTCACCACCGCGAAGAGTTAAGGTATGAGTGTTGAAACTATTTCAACCTGAGAACTGTTTTATTAGAAAATCTCTGTGACAAGCAAGGGAAAAGGCTCAGACCCTTCATATTTCCTCTAATGAATGACTTTTTGAACCGGGAGAAGCCACTAAATTCTAGCCCAGGTCTGAGCCTTAGTAGTAGTAACACGCTGAGCCACAGGGGGGCAGCAAAGGAAACTCAAAGGAATCCTCTCCAAAGGGCTCCAATTGGTTTCCACATTTAGTAGTTGGTGCCCCAGAACTCCGGAATTCGACTGTCTGAAATCTTTTTCTTTCTTTACTTTAGTAAATTTTTGTATTAGGCCTTGCCTTGCATGGTTTTCACCAGCATGATGAATCCTATGTAAAATACTGAAAATTTACTTTTGGAAAAAATGCTAAGAAACACCTTCTTTATACTTAATTGAAAAGAGAAAAATAAATTATTTGGTAGGACCTTTGAACTCATTACATTTTACATTTTGAACTCGGTTGTGGTGTTAGAAATTTCTTGCTATAATTTGACAGCTCTAAGTCTCACAGGCAGTATTAGGAGAGGCACCTTCCTCTTAAATCCTTGAGACATGAATTTCCCAGTAGCTTCCTTTTTCATTTTATAGCTAAATAGTGAAGGGAAAGGTTAAGCATTGGTTGATTGAGATCTGTTGATTGAGACGCTGTTGTACAGCAAATGAAAACATAACCAACACTAGATCTTCAACCAACACCTGACTTTATTTCTTATTTGAATATGATTTCTTATATCCTGAGCACCAATGGCAAAGACGCCAATAATTATTTGATCTAAATGAGTCTCAGAAATCTGTGAGCTGTGGCCTTTCACACAATCACGAACACTGAGTAATTCCATTATCTTTCTGGCTGCTAACAGCGCCTTGGAGGCCTTTAAACAGGTCACTTAGGGCACTAGAAACACAGCCAGCTGCTGTGTGGGAAAGTCACAGGTAGATGTTACCTGTGGAGAAACTGGACCCAATATAATGAATTTAATCTCAAGGTTTCGGTTTTCTTTTTCCACCACATCTTTTTTAAAAACAAAAGTTGCTAAGTAAAAATCTCTTTTATACATTCAAATATTCCGAAGCCTATTTTGGAAAAATACATTTTCTAAAGCAATATAAAGAGGGGCTTCAAGATGTTTAAGATCCTAGAGGACTCAAAAAGGTCATGATGTTGACAAATATCTTAAAACACAATTGGCACCTTTTTGTAAACTCTTAGAAGTGAAAATTATATCTGTTTACACGGTCCATATAATATCATACTCACTTTTAAATGACACTGAATGTGTTCATTAGTGAAAAAAAAAATAAGCCCAGGTTTCTCTTAAAGAAAATCCCCATGTCTTATTAGTTGACCAGACCAAGGCCAGAAAACTCTTAACTCCAACATTGTTTCTTGCACGCAGATTCATTGGCATTAGGAGAACTAGGTTGGCGTGGGACTTTTTAGAAGAGTTTGAGCCAATTGCCAGTCAGTAGGAGCCCATCTGGCAGTGACAGTCTGGTGGGCTGTGGTGAACCACAGCACGCATGCTGCAGCAGGCACGCAGAGCCCTCTCTGTTGGCACATGAGCCCTTGTTTTTTTCTAAACTAAAACCCTGGCATTTATGTTTAATTGCAGTGTTGGTACTTTGTGATAAATAGGGGGTTTGGGTTGCAGTTTGGGCACCCGGTCTCTAAAAGGTTTGCCATCACTGGTCTAATGGCTGGCTCCAGATATCATAAAGACAACTCTGGAAACTGAAATAGTGACGAGTCCATGAATAACTTTTCCCATGTGAGTGGAATTAAGACTCCACAGAAACGTCACTACCTGGCATCCGATTAATCCTTGGGAGGTAGTTTTGCCTTTTTTTTAAATTTGTTGAGTGGCCACATAATTTTTCAAGAATTTATCTCTTACTATTGCTGTCTGTGGCAGCAAGTAACTCTTCCAGCTCTGTTGGTCTGTAGATACCCATCACTGCTTTGTTGCTTCCACTGCCGCCTTCTCAGGAAGCTCAGCTGGGCGGCTTTTGATTTCCTCCACCTCAGAGCCCCTCGTGCCTTGCATGAGCTGGAGGTCTTGGGTTGCGTGATGCTTATGTGTTTTCTCATTTTCTCTCTTTCTTTTGTTTTCTACATTGATAGTTGTAAGTTGCTTCTGGTAGGCACTTTTATTAGTAGTAATGAGCACTCTTTAGGAAATGAATACCTCTCAGAGACGTCTCCTAGGCAGAGGTGGCTTTTGGCCCTTGGGTCTGTCCCAGGACCCTGCCTCTTCATTTATTTGTGGCCTCTTCAGCCGAGCACCCAGTCCTTTGGTACTGTACTGTACTGTATTGTTTATGACCCCCCAGGCAAACTAGATATTAGCCCACGAGCAAGATCAACCCATCTTAGCAATGGCGTCACCTTGGCTAAAGTAGCAGCATCAAGCACAGAAGAAGAAGCTGGGATAACTAGTAACTCACTACTTTTAAGATAACTAATAACTCACTACATATAAGATTTATAGTTGTATAACAAAATCTAAGGCAGATCAGAAAGTTATATACAGTAATATCCACTTGACAGAACAATTTTACCTTAATGTGAGAAAATTGAAAGGGAGAAGAGGGGGAAAAGGGAAATAAAAGAGTAAAAGAAGCAAGAAAGTTAGAAGCAAGGCTAAAGGGCAGAGGAAGATTATAACCAAGTTTAGGAAACTGGTGAAGAGAATAGGAGGCAGAGAAAGAATGAAAAAACAAAAACAATGATGAAACCAAACCCTCCCCGCCTAAAAAACCCCACAGACAGTGTTCACTCTCACAAAGAAAAACAAATAAGAGAAAAAAAACAAATGAACAAAAACTAGAAGAAAATAAGAAGCAGAAGGAGAAGCAGAGGAGGAGGAAGAAGAGGAGAAAGAGGAAGAAAAAGAAGAACAAAGAAGACAAAGGAAAAGAAGTTGTTCTCTGTGATTTCAAGCCTGTGGTCTATCATTTTATGACAGTTTCCAATTTAAGGTGTGACTCTGTTCTTGCTGAAAGGCAAAGAAGGCCATCAGAGCCCAGATCTGTGCCAGATAGTCCCAGCAAGCCAGCAGCAGGATTAAGATAGAGTGATAGATAATCCCAGCAAGCCAGCAGCAGGATTAGGATAGAGTGATAGATAATCCCAGCAAGCCAGCAGCAGGATTAGGATAGAGTGATAGATAATCCCAGCAAGCTAGCAGTAGGATTAAGCCTTGGTGCTCATTCTGGAATTTTCAAATCCATGGAAATTCAGTCTGAACCTAAGGTTTGGTCATGAGGTTGGGGCCTAAGTCATGTAGTTTGTAACGCTCTGGGTGTCTCTTGCTTGCCTGCCCACAGCTCACTGACCATGGCCATTTCCAATGATTGTCCCTCCCTCAGTCAATATGGAGTTAACACTGAGCCTGAGATAAAGCCAACCTGTGGCTGCTCTGAGGCTAAGCTCTTTTGGCACCTCCCCAGAATGGTATCTGACCAAGCACACTTCCCAGGGCACACAGCAGTCACTTGCGCTGGAGTCACTCTCAAGCTACTGGAACACACAGGGTCCACTGTTCTGTTGCCCTGGTGCCTTTCTCCTTGGTGGCCTCTAGAGTCACTGCTCTCAGTGCATCTTTGTAGATTCAGTCTTCCTGTCTGACACCCCAAACCAGGAGCCTGGGAGGAAGTTCTGGTTGCCACCTCCTTTTTTTTGTTGTGTTCTATTTCCTCAATTTCCATGTTTTTCCTATCTGTGAACTCAAATTCACTCAGGATGGCTTATGAACCAAACTACAGGGGCCACAGAAGTAGGCCAAGGGTCCTTTTCTCATTCCTAATGAAAGCCAACTAAATAGAAGACCAAGTTAGCCTCTCACATTGGTGAACCATGCAGAACCAGATTACTGATGAAGTCTTCCCCCAAAGGGTGATTTTTAGCTATCTAAAAGCTTCATAGATCCACGAAACCAAACTAAGAAACAGTTAAGAAAATTCGATCCAAAATTTCCTTTAGACCCTGTGAAAGCAGAAGAGCTGTGAATGTGCTAGCAGGGCACCATATTTTTTTCTTAGTGAATTAAAATGTTGGGGGCAAAATGGAGCAAAGAAAAAATTCACTCACTTGGCAAGTGGCAAAGCCAGTGAAATTTATGTATGAACATAGTTGTTGGTTTCTTTCAGGCAGTTGTTTTAGTGAGTGATTCTCTCCTCTTAATCATGATTGATGTCTTAACACGACACTTTTTATTGTCTCTGTGCAGCCAAAAGATGACCTGTACACACTGCTTCATCCCACTATGCACTGTTGGACTCCAACTAGTGACCTGTATGTTGGCTCTGAAGAGGGCCATCTTTTGCTGATTAATGGAGAAACTTGGAAGGTGACTGTGATTCAGAAGGTAGAAAAGACACAACTGGGTGAGGAACCGCTCTGCACCCTGTTCCCACAGGCTTTACCGTACATGTTAGGTCACCCTTTCTTGGAGACCTCTTCTCTTTTACCCTCTGGTTATTTAGCAAGCCCTGTGGATACCTTAGGCCTAGCTAGTGTTGATTAGAAGTTACCACATTTCTATAATTCTGCTATGGCTATATGCAATCCACAAAATATTATAAGAAGAAATATATGAATCTCCATGACACAGGGAGATATAGTTGCAAAGTATTCTGATTAGGTTCTGAAATGCTCAGTTTGGCATAAGCTGTGGAGCTGACATGGAACCAGCCCCTGAGACCTATGAATCCCAATGCTGAGCTGCTGTCCTGTATCACCTTCTATACATATGTCTGTGCTACACAGTCAGATGATCACGCCCTCTCCTGCCCCTCAGACCTCTCAGCTGTTTTCTCTGATTATCCAATTGCAGTCTTGAAAATTACCTTTGTGTCACTTGAGGGCAATTTCAAAGAACACCTGATATATTCACCCTTAATTCCAATGTCCACTCTTGGTCTCATCTGTGACCAGTTGGATTGAGGGCGTAGGATCCAGTGTCCACCCAAGAGAATCCAGATGCAAACCCTTTTAGGAGAGCACCTCATCCAGTATCTTAGTTAGTTTTCTCATCGTCGAGACAAAACACCTGGTACCCAGAGTTAAGGGAGGAAAGGTTTATTTAGCTCACAGTTTGTAGAGGTTTCAGTCCATAATTGGCTGGCTCCAAGGCAGGGAGGAGTGGCAGACAGGCATCGCGGAGGAAAAACAGTTCACAGGGGGCAAAAGGTAGCAAAGCCAAAAGGGAAAACCACAGCTCTTCCTATCCCTTATATCTTATCTAGGTTACTTAGGTCGGGTGGCACTCACGCCCTTCCTTCCTAACGCCCTCAATCCTAGCACTGCCCCATGAATCAATCCCAGCATCACACACTGTAGATCTATCCCACAATGAACAAGCCCCACCTATGAGTGTATGAGGTTTTGAGGGGACATCCAGACACAAGCTGTAATGCCAAAGCAAGCCCCAGACCTGTCCGAGGCACTCTGTTCCAATCGCTCTTGTCATTTCTCACTTTGACTTCACTGATGCACTGACGTTGATCTACATCTAACTGAAACCAGGAAGTTTGTCTTTGCCAAGCTGCAAAGCTCATTTTTGATACACAACTTTGGAAGCTCATTTTTAATACACAACTCAGGGGCTTCATTAGCATTATGTCCTCCTACCCCCTTGTATTCATCCTCTTCTAGCTAGTACTTTTTCCTCACAGTCCACATTCCACGCCTCCTCCCTCGCTCTCTGCCTTTCTCCCTAGGTCTCCCAGTGCCCAGCTTACCACCACCACCACCACTACCACCACCCCAAATGCATGGCCTTTGTTTCCTGTCCCTGGTGAAGCACTGCCACCTGCCTGCCCTTTGCTCTGCCTGTGCCTCTCTGCTTGCCCTCTCTGCTGGTACGTGGACCAGCATTCTCTGCAGAGTTATCTCTTCCAGCTCTGCCTGTCCAGCTTCAGTTCTTCCTGCTTGAACCTTTTTCAGTCCTCCTCCTTGCTGCGCTCTCTCTGAATTCTGTCACTGGCTTCTGCAGTGACTCTGTCCTGGGGTCCCCTATCTTCCTGGTCTATTTGTGAGCTTTCCTCCCCCCAGCCTTGCCTACCCCACAGCCACAGTGAGGTGCCCTCTCTGGAGTCCCACAGCCCTCACCCCTTGGCGGGAGTCTCGCCCCGTGCTATCACAGGGTCTCCCCCATGTGTCCCGTTACTCCTCAGTTCTTTGAAACCGTTCAGAGACTTCATTCTTTATCTCCTTTGACTCCAAAGTGCAAAACTAAGTATCACTACAGAGTAAGCTGACAGCTACATTTCCAAACTTCTATCATACTCACCTATTTTTCATAACTTAGGACTTAATCACACGTAGTCTTACATTGTTCACTATTGCCTTACTGTGTGCCATTTCTTATGATTTCCATGATAAATGCTTTCAAATACCTGATTATCAAGCCTCAATAATGCAGAAGGCACTAAAATAAGGTACTTTAGTGATTAGCCAAGTGACAAATATATAGTCTCATAATTTCCATCCTCAAGGGACATAGGTTTTATTAAAGATGAAAAAAAAAAGTCGACAATTATAACCAGCAAGAAAAAGAACAGCATGATTTCTTTGCAATAGAGCTTCACAAAGTGCTGCAGGGGTCCCAGGTGAGGGGATCCATTCATGTTGTCATTTTGATGATTATATTTGAACTAACTCCTGAAGGAGGGCTGATGGCAGAAATGGGTGGGTGGGACATTTGGCCATTGTCTCTGTGCAGACCAGAAAACGTGGGACAGTCAAATAACAGGAAGTGGTGCGGCTCCTACAGAGCATGGGTGTTAAAGGGAATGAAGGGCCATCCAGGCCGTATCTGATCTCCTTTCATGTCCAGCCAAAGCATTTGTACTTAATTTAGCTGAGAATAGGCCGATATCAAAGCACCCCAAACGGATGGCAGTATGCCCTAACTGGAATGGTGGTAGCTCTTTGACTTTTTCAGGTAATGTGCTTTTACTGTTTTCCTCCAAGGACAGTACTCTATTAACAATAAATGTTCTTATGGGTCATTTTTTTTCTTTTTGCCTTCTTTCTGTCCACAATAGTTTATTTATTGGTGTATAAATTTACAAACCGTAAAATGCAGGGTGATCATTACTAAATAGCTTATATTATTCCTTGTCACATTGTATGTTTAATTATATGTTGCTACTTTATGCTTTTTTTTTTTTCTTTTTCAAAAGTTGTACCACATCTTTTCAGTCCAGTGACCCTGGTATATCAGAAGGATGGCATCGTTGCTTCTGGAATTGTAATGTATTTTATTTTTCAAAATTAATTGCTTTCAAGACAAAACATTTTCCATTTGTTTCCTCTTACTTGAGTCATATTTTGGGATTCCAAGTTAGTTCAGATTATTAATTAAAATAGTTTCCTCTTCATATGCTACTACAAAATTTTTTATTATGAAGAATTTCAATTAATATAAAAAGAGTATGGTGCCGTGAACTACCATAGATCCATCTCCACATGAACAAAAGTAGAGTCTAAAAAGCCTTTCCCCTGCCATACCAAAACACCTAAGAGGTCTCCGTACTGTGCAATAATATATTGGTTGTCAGATGTGAATTTCAGCACAGGCTCTTGTGTGTGAGCATTTTAGCTCACATGGATCATGTCGACATTGTGGACACAGAGTGGTCACTAACGTCCTCCCTTTACTCGGTGCTTGCTTTGTGCCAGGCCCTCTGCTCAGTGCTTTGCTCAGATGCTCTTGTTGGTCCTCACAACAAGCTTATCTTGCCCATGCAGATGAAAGAACCAAGTCTTACGAGACGAGGCTGCCAGGAAGGAGGTAGAGGAAGCAGGCTTGATCCAAGGCCACCACACTCTTATAACATCTGTGCTGTCATTTAGAGCACACAGCCCCGCTGAGTATGAGATAGAGCCGGGGAATGTGTTCCCTTGCTGTAATCAGTGCTAACATTTGTAACTGACCGATTCTACAATCTCAGGTTTAGGTGTAGCTGTCCCTAGTCCATTGCTCCATTGCCACAAATTACAACTCCAGGACCCTGAGCCTGCATATCCCAGCACCTTTCAGGTCTTAGACTTCTGAATCCAGCCATCTCACAAATGCCTCAGATTATACCAGGATCCACTTTAGAAAATGATGGATACATTTATCCAGAACCTCTTAATTATATAAAAATAACCTAGTTCCACTTGAGAGTAGTAATATCTGTTTATAGCCAATCAACCCATTTTTATTAGACACTTGCCATTTTGCCATTGTGCAAGGTACTAGAGAAGAGTACCAAATGTAAGAAAAGGCAGGTTCCTATCCTTGGGTCATTTGGGGAGATATGAAATGCACATGATGATGATTAGAGAACATAAAGGAACATACCTAGGGCTAGCATCTTTTGAAATAAGGTTACCACTCTGCACAGGCTACATAAACAGCCACATTTGTCTCACCTCTGATATAATGAAGAAAATGGTGAAAAGACAGAGGCTAGAGATACTGAAAGAAAGGAGTGGGCAGTAAATTATGTTAATTGAAAATGCATCACAGAAGAGATACAACTGCACACTGCAACGTAGTTAGAAGTGTCCACATACAGGTGAAAGGGCAGTATGCTCTGGGTGGTGCGAACACAGGTGGGTGAGGGCTACCCAGGTGCCTTCTCTAATCTGCGGAGGAGCACGTGTGCTGTGCACTGCCAGGACTGATATTCCGCTCTTCACTGTGTTGGTCTGCAGGATGGCTTTGTGTACTCTCTCACTGTCAAAGATTCAAGTTTTTACAAACTAGAGGAATTTCTTGAGATTGAAAGTCCTGTGACACATATGATATTCTCCCCCAGTTATAAAATGCTGCTGATTCAAACAGACAAGGTATGTTAGAAAGTGGTTTCTTGATATACACTTTTCAAGTGACACTATTATCATCAGTACATGATGGGAACAAAGGGCAGAGTGCACCACATAGTGTTTCTCTGCCAGTCAGGATTCCTTAGCTGCAAATGAAAAAAATACCCAATTTAAAAGGCCCCAATAACAAAGAGATGTTTGTTTCTGTGCATGTAGCTTTAAGGAGTGAGGCATGGATCTGAATCCAGGGACTCCCAGGATCCTCCAGTGCTTGTTTTCTGTGTTTCTTGGCTCTGCTCTGTCCATTTGCAAAAAGACTATACCCTTGTAGCACTGAGAACTTTCTGAAGCTCCAGCTTATATTTATGTTTTCTTGGGAACTTTTGCAGAAAGTTATCAGCTGGGAAGACTCACTGGACTAACTTTGACCTTCTTTGTTATCCCTGGATCAGTCACGATGGTCAAGGAAAGTCTAAGCTCTGAGTGGTCAGGCCTAAGTCCCATGCATACCCTTGGGCCCTAGGTAGTGAACCCACCAAAATAGGGACTGAGGTTGTATCAGTGTTTCTCCCAGGAAACTATGAGTTCTATAAGACAAGAAAGAAGAGGAATCAAAGCAGGGTAAAAACAAATGACTGTTATATTTTTAGAATGACTTATAATTAATAGAATGGCCCTCAGAGGTCAAATTAACAGCCATTTTTATTGTTAGGCAATAATTTTATATAGAAAGTTTAATTAACTTAAATGTAAATATCAAAACACTTCACTTTCTGGTAATTATTAGAAGACAAAACAACTGTGCTATGATTTTAAAAATAGTAAATTTAAAATGTCTATGGGGAATAGGAAAATAGTTTTAAAAGAACTATAAAAACTAGGAAAAGATCCAAATAAAACTTCCAAAAATTCAAAATATACCAACAAAACAAAAATTATATGAATAGATTTGAACCAAAGATTGGACATACCCAGAGAAAGAATGAGTGAACCGGAAAAAAGGACAGAAGTTGTTATTCAAAATATAGCCCAGAGAAGCAAAAGGGAAGGAAATACAAAACAGAGGGTAAGAGGCATAAATAATAGCATGAAAAGATCTAACATACATCTAATTGGAATCCTAGAAGGAGAGCGCATAAGACAGAGGCAAAACTTACAGAGCTATGGGCTCGCAGTTTTCCACACCTGATTAAGGAGATGAATTCATAGATTCAAGAAGTCCAGTGAATCCCAAGCAAGATATGTAAAATGATAACTGTACAAAGACTTCCCAAAGTGAAATTGTTGAAAAAAAAAAAACAGAGAAATTGTTGAAAGCCAAAAAGAAAAAGCAAATTACATCATAGATATTTGAGTTACAGTAACAGCTGACTTCTCTGTGGTAACAATGTAAATAAGAAAAAGTGGAATGATGTTTTCAGTGGAATGCGGAGGTCTGCAAGCTCCAGCCCTGTGGACCCAAACCCAGTCTGCTGCTTGTTTTTGTGGACAAAGTTTTAGTGGTTCACATCCACAGCTAGCTATTTATACGTATTCCCATGGCTGCTGCCACACCACAATGACAGTATTAAGTACAGCAGTACCGTGGTCCATTAATGCTTTTGTTTGCAAACAATTTGGCTTGCAAAAAGAAGTATATGGCAAAAGTACGGTTTTGCTTGTGAACTCTACACCAGGTAATAAACACAACTATGGCCATCTTTCCCACATGAACAAAAACATGGCTGTCTTTTCCGGAATTGTGGAACGAATTATGTCTGTGAACAAGGAACCGTGCAGCTGTAACCCAGACCACACAGTCTCCAGAGTCTAACATGGTTACTCTCTCTCCCCTCATAGAAAATATTTTCTGACCCCTAGTTCAGTGAGAGAAAGTCATCTGGAATTCCAGTCCCAGCAGAAAGTATTATTCTCCTTTTGTGCTTTATTTTTTTCCCTTATTACAATTATCACCACTTCATTTGTGATATGTTTTACTTGAGTTATTTATTTATTTGGTACTGGGGATCAAACTTGCAACCTTGTACTTGCCAGGCAGGCACTTATACCCCTGAGCTAAACCCCTGGCAAGTTTATTATTTATTGTCTGAATCCCCGTAGAACGTAGATACCCTAAGGGCAGAGTTCTTTTACTCAGACAAACAAGAACAAAAATATTCATGTTTATTTCAAGTTACCTTGAAGAATTTGTGATCAGTTGAAACTAGATTTCTTTCTGCTATGTGACCACGTTATGTTACAGCTACCGGCAAAAGTACAGATATTACAGGACAAATTTTAAGTTTTGAGAAATGACTTTAAGAGCTGAGAATGATAAACAAGTCATAAATACCTTCAGCCATACCCCCCCCAGTTTCTAAAAGATTTATTTAAAGTTTTAATTAGTGCTCAGCATTATGTTTAACACGTGGTAGGATTTATTTCACCTTAACAACTTTCCTGGTTTTCTGGATTTTCTTCATATATTAGTTTTAAAATAAAGGAAAAGTGCTTTGTTATGTTTTTTAATTTAAGCCACATATGCAAAATTTTAATCTTCCACCCCCTTCTCTCTTATATTTGCCAGGGATCTGTTTATATTTATACTTTTGATGAAGAGCCAACCTTAGATAAGATCCTAGATGCTTGTGATGGAAAATTTCAGGCAATTGACTTTATCACCCCTGGAACCAAACATTTTATGGTAAGCAGTATTCTACTATGATGCAATAGGATTTAACAAGGTGATGTTTCCAGATTTAAATTCCTGTTCATATATGATTGGATAACTTTGGAATTTCATGTGCAAAGGACTTCAAATAAGTGGCAGATGATATCTTTTTTAAAAAATGTTTTTCTGTGACACTTATATTTTTGCATAGTACTGAATTAAGATTCCTTTTTATTTTATGAAAAACATTTCATAACAAAATAAGAGAATAGCCATAGTTAATACATTATCTTCAAAGTAGATACTCAGAGTAGAGGTAAACCAGGGTATCTCTGAGATTATGCAGAGATATCAGCATAGTTACTTTCCTGGTGCTGGTGCAAAACACCCACACTCACAGCCTTAGGGAGGAGAGGGTTATTTTGGCTTGAGTTTCAGTCCATGGTTGATGGGCTCAGGGCTCCGAGGCAGAAACGTCACGGTGGCAGAGCCTAGATGTAGGAATGCTGCTCAGCCCAAGGCAGCTAGGAAGCAAAGAGAGAAGGGAGATCCAGTGACAGAAACAGGTACTCACTGGGTCCTGCCCCAGACTCACTGCCAACCAGGCCCTGGCTCCTGAAAGTCCAGTCAGCTACTGAGGCCACCAATGGATGAATGCACTGATGAGTATCGTGCACCTGTGAGCCACTAACCTTCTGAATTTGGGAGACTTTGGGGGACGTTTTAGATGCAACAGGAAGAGAAACCAAACACTTCCATCACCGAACTTTTCTCCTGATGGAATGACGTCATCATATTGTGACTTCATAATGCGGCCTCCTGACAGCAGCCCAAGCAACTGAGATCCTAGGAGACCTCTTCTTTGTTTCACCAACCCAGCGCTGCAAGCCAGGCTGTCAGACCTGCCCGACACTTGTTCCCTTTAGGACAAGGGCCTTACCACCTCGGCATGAAAATGAAATATTTGCTGTACACAAAACAAGAATTCAGTCAACCTAAGGGAAAAGTACTCCACGTTTAGCCTTGTATCCAATGTTTATTTACCTTTTGTTAGTCTCAAGATATTTCAATTTTAATATGATTCATCAATACCATTAATATTTTTAAATGCTCTGAAAAATTAAAACATACGTAGGCTATGGAATAAGTGACAGTTAAGGTTTTTCCCATCTGGAAGTTCTGGTGATTTTCCCTCAGATAATGTGCAAAAGGCTCCAGATAAAAGGCCAATGGTATGTTTTTGGGTTTTTTTTTTTTTTTTTTAGTGTTTTTCTGTGAAACTTGTATTTTTACACAGCAGTGAATTAGCATAATTCAGGACTGTGGCAAGCTAGTATCTATTTTTGTGACTGTTTCAGCTAACAAAGGCTGTACACAACTGTGATATGTAGGAATTAGATATTTGATACATATTTGTAGCTCATAGAACTCAAGAAACGGAACATGAATTGTGCCACATTACAGTCATTTTAAGCTGCTTTCAGTCTTGACATTGAGAAAGTTGTTTTTCTATAGTGAACAAATGTGCACCAAAAACCGTCCTGTAACAAGTGATTGCCATAAGGTTGGGAGATAAAAGTTTGACACATAAGAAAGTCAGCTGCTTTCTTACTGAAATTTGAAATTTAAAATACACATTTATTTTCTTCAGCATCAAAATAGTGAACAAGCTATAAATCTAACCAAACGTATAACCTGCGTATCAGAAAAATGCAAAACCTCGATGAGCAAACTCAAATGATCTAAATTGTATAAAGATTACACATACATGGGTGGAAGATTGCCAAGCCGTCAGTTCTTCCCAACTAGGTCTGTAGATTAAATGTAATTCCAGTCAAGATATCAAGTTATTATATGAAAATTGATTCTAAAATTAATATACAAAGGCAAAGATTCACAATGGAGAGCCCTTTGTAGATAGCGCAGAAGTCTACATACATAAATACAGTCAACTGTCTTTGACAGAGGAGCCAAGGTGGCTCAGTAAACTGTGCTGGAACAACCAGACATCTGCATACAAAAGCATCTAGATGTAGCCTTACAGGTTTCATAGAAAAATTCAAATGTAAAACTATAAAACTCCTAGAAGATGACAAGAGAAAAATCTAAGTGACCCCTGGGCTTGGTGGTAACATTTTAGATACAATACCAAGTCACAATCCATGGCAGAAAAAAAATTGATAAACTAAGCTTTGTTAAATTAAAAACCTCAGTTCCATAAAAAGGCTGCAAAGAGAATAAAAAGACAAACCAGAGACTGCATGAAAAACATTTATTGAGTAAAGTACTTGTATCTAAATGTACAAAGCACACTTAAAATTCAACAGTAAGAAAATATAAAACCCCATTAAAATGAGCAAAAATATGTCTAGATGCCTCAGTAACAAGATACATGGTGGAAAGCAGGCAGATGAAAAGATGCTGGCAGCAGTTGTTTGTTGTGTGGGAAAACAACAAGGAAAGGTCATTACCCAGTATTAGGCTGTCTAAAACCCAAGATCTGGGAAGACTGAATGCTGGTATGGAACAAGAGAAACCATCTCATCGCCTTTTGGAAGACGTTTGGACAAGGTCTTGCAAAACTACACATCTGCTTACTCCAGGACTTGGCAATTACACTTCTCAGTACTTACCCAAGGGGGCTGGAAAGACACACTTCTAGGAAAAACTGCACACAGATCCTTATAGCAACTTTATCCATAATCACCCAAACTTGGGAACAACTAAGTAGTCTCTCAGTGGGTGAATGGATAAACAGTCAATGGGATATTATCCAATAATAAAAAGCAGCTACCAGGCCACCAAAAGAGTAGAGCTTTAAATGCATATGACTAACTAATAAAAGCCAATCTGAAAAGCCCCCATACTGCACAGTTCCTACTGTGTGGTATTCTGGAGAAACCCAAACTAAGGAAACAGTAAAAAGGTCAGTGCCTGCCAGGAGGGTAGTGAGGTGGGGAGTGGGGTGAACAGGTAGAGCACAGGAGATTTTTTTGTTTTGTCTTATTTTTTTGAGACAGGGTCTCTCTATGCAGTTCACGTTGGCATTGAGCTCACTTTGCAGCCCAGTCTGGTCTCAAACTTGCAACAATCCTCCTGCCTCAGCCTCCCAAGTGTTGGGATTACAGGAGAGCGCCACCACACCTGGCTTGCACATGGAGTTTTTAAGGCAGTGAAACCATTCTTTATGACACTGTGATGGCAGCCACCTATTATATATTTGTAAAAACACACAGAATGTACAAAGCAAGGAGAGCCCTATGTAAACCACAGACTTCAGTCCGTCACAGTACAGAGCATCATTATTGTCTCATCCATTCTAACAAATACACACACCAGTGCAAGAAGTGTGCAAGGGGAGAACTGCATATGCAGAGAGGCAGAGGAAGGGGAATTCTCTGTACTTGCTGCTTAATTTTCTATAATTCTAAAACAACTCTGAAAAACACAGTCTATTAATTTAAGGAGGAGCAATGTCCAATTTCTTGGTTTATTCATCAGGCAAAATGCTAATCTATCAACTAGATTATGACTCCAAGTGACGTCATGGGGCCAAGGGGCACCATGTCCTGTAGGGTGTGGATTCACTGACAGATGTTCCTAGGCGAATGTGCTGGTAGGAAGCAGAGCCCATTTGGAGGAGCTGGTCTCTGAGGACGTGCTCCCAGGGGAGAGCATCTCTGCTTACCGGCCACCAGGAAGGGAGCCATTCACTCCACCAGGCCATTCTGCCATGACATTCTTGCCTTGAAGTCAACTGTGTCTGGACTGAAATCCCTGACACTGTCAGCCAAACCTTTCCTCCTCCAAGTTTCCGGTATCTGGTATTTTGTCCCAGCAATAAGAAATATAAACAGGCAATAATGTCATTGAATTCTCAAGTAAGTTTATCTTAAGTATGTTACATGGCAAAATTTTTTAATTAATTCATTTGTTTTTCTCTATCAAGCAAGGTTGTTCTTCTGCAGAAGGGCACTAGCACATTTTAGCAGAGGCACAGCAGCAGGCTCCTTTTAAAATTTTTAATTTAATTTTCTAATTTCAATTAGTTACTATGGCTCCCTTAAATTATATTAAAATGATTTATTTTTGTGTGAAGCAAACGAAAATGTTTATTTTTTAAAAAATGAGATCAATACCATTTTAATGTAGGAGATACCAACATTATTTACAGGCTAATAAAAGTATTAACTAGATATAATACACTTGTCCTAAATCCTTAAAATACTACTTATTAAAAGAAGTATTGATATCGGAAGTCGAAATAATTATTTGTAATCTGCATAAAGAGAATGAAAATGTTTCGCCAACTCCTCAGATGGGCACGCTAGGCAGTGATTCGGAGTGTGTTTCCACAGCAATCTTTCTTTCCACTGGAATTCTGTCTATCTTCCGTTTACAGACCCTCACACGTTCGGGGGAAGTCTGTGTTTGGGGGCTGGAGGATTGCACTTGTGTAAGCAAGATTTACCTGAACATCAAGGTAAGTGTACCTGAGAGGTGAGTTTTTACCAACATTGAGGTCTAAACCAGGCTACCTGTCCACACCGGCATCCCCGAAGTCAGTGCGAACGTTTGCTGCAGAAGGCTTCCTGTGTGTCCAGCTGGTAGCAGAGAGCAGTTCCTGGGGCTGAGTAAGACATTGTGAGTGCTGCAGAGGTGGTAGCTATTTCTGGAATCATGGGGGTCTCCACCTCCCTCATGGTCCGTATTTGTGGTGGACACGCAGGGGTCTCTGTGGAGGCAGCCTGATCGGAATAGAGGGCAGGAGGGCTGATCTTTTTGCCTAGCAATGAAGCAGTTCCTGGACCATCTCAGTTAAATGACCCCACTTTGCAATTAAGATCAATTACAAATGAAAGAAAGTTGCCACTCCGATCAGATTAAGTCAAAAATTTAAAAGTGGGAAATTATTGGATCAGTCAACGACCAAGTATAGAATTTTTCTGGCCTGGTGTGCACCCCAACCCAGCAAGGTCCCAGTTTTTCTGTCTCCCTCAATGATTTTGGTCTCATTTTAGGCCTTGTGTCCTGGTATCCACATGAGGGCAGCGCTAGCCTTGCATTGTGCTGTCAGACAAGGGACCTTCCAACAGTACATGGAAGATGAGAAGTTTCTACTTCCTAGAAATCTTAGGACATGTCTTCTAATGTCTTAATAACACCTTGAACTACGCACTGTGGACAGTGGGATAGAAATGCTGGCTGTCATCATCTCAGCCCAGGAAATGTGGCTCAGGTTCCGTGTACACCAGCCTGCAGACAAGAGATCAATGCTGCTTGTTGCGTGTTCAGGAGGGCGATAAGGCACAGCCTGGGCGGGGGGGGGGGGGTGTCTTTTTACAAACAGTAATTTAACAGCCCCTTTTTAACAGCAGTAAGAAACAGCCCCTGTTTCTTAACAGCAGTAATGCTTGGGTGTTTTTCTGTTAATTACCATCCTGGGCTATGTTACATGGTTCTGGAAGCGCTATGGATCTTAGTAGGTAGGGAGGTTACAATCCCTCCCCTTTATAAAAGTAAAAGCTCAATTATAGCACACTAAGTATCATACCTCATGGAGGCATATTACAAGATGCAAATGATCCGTCATTCAATTGGATAAATGAAACTCTCCATCAAAGTAAACATTCATTCTTGGCTAAAAGATGAAAACATGAGACTCCGTGATCTGCATGACCAGGGTTTATATGTGTACATTCTATTAGAATTTCTTCAGCTAGCAGAGCTCTTACAAGGTGATCTGACCACATCTCCTGCACATGAGATACACGCAAACGTGTAGCAGAACCCCTATAAAACAGACCTTCCCTTGTTCCTTTTGTCCAAGCCAGATGCAAGCCCCACCCGAAGGCCTCGGCCAGCCATCCCTGAGCTCTGGGCCAGGTTGGGCACACTCCCGTGATCCAGCTGGGGGAAACGTGGGTCCTTCCCTGCTGGAGGAAACCTCTGCCCACAGGACTTGGTGGTGGATGATCTCCCCACCTGTGCCCTGTGTTTCCTGTGAACTAAAGATGAGGCAGGGTCCTCAGGGACCAGCCTAGCTCTCCTATAGCCAGAGACCTACGGGAGACAGTTTGCCACGACTGTTGCTGCCAGCTAGTGTGCTGCTCTCCTAGGCTAACCCACTGTTACCCCAAGATGGATTATCTGGGGAACATGCCACACATGTACACGCCCGAGGGACCCCACCAAGGCTTTCCGCTCAACAGTAGTGAGCTGCAGGAAAACTGATGGAACTGGAGCTCATCCTGTTTAAGTAAGTGGGACTCAGAAAGGCCAGTGTCACCTGTTTCCTCTTCCATGTGGAATCTGGGGTCGAGGAAGAAGACAACATGAAAGGGGAGCCCTGGGGGATTAGGGTAGTGAAGATGAACACCATCAAGGTTTGGGCTATGCAAGGGTAAAAATGACTCAAACTCATTTTATTGTTCACTGAACATAATAATTACCAATTTTAAATTGGAAAAAAACACAAAAGCCCACTCAAGTGGGAGCCTGTTGTGCTCCAACACACCTGGACACCGTGGTGGTCCGAGCTATGCCACCCACCACAGAATCCGGGGCAGACTCTGCACCTCTTCGGCCTTTATTTTCTGTTCTGCGAGATGATGATCTCATAAGCTCTCTTCCAGCCCCAGCATCCCATGACGATTCAAATCACCTGCAAAGTATAGCGTAGGGAAATCAATCTGACTTCTTAAGTACTGTGGAGAAAATGTACTCTCTCAGACATCCTGTTCCATACACATGATCGTGAGATATGCAGGGCTCTGGCACAAGTTTGTTTTGTTTTGTTTTGTTTTTAATGCATAGTCCAGTGTCAGAGTTATCTTAAGTCCTCCTTATTCCTCTCAAGATTCATCATGATTCAGGAGACAAAGGGTGCTTTTTTAAAAAATTTTATTTAAGGAGAAAAAAGAAAAAAAAAACAAAAAAGGGTACAAGTTATACAGAATTTCAGAAAAAATAAACAGTAGGAAATCAGTAGTTAATAGATTACATATTGTCATCTTAGAAATAGTTGTTCAAGTTACAAAATTAAAGCATATAGAGTGGACATTCAAACAGTGAGACTGCAAACAGTTCTGTTCAATGATCCAACAAAAACTCAGTAATATGGTTATGTTATACACTTAAATATACATGCAGTTATGTCCTTTAGAGCACTTTCTTTTCCTCTCTTTTGTATAATGACAATTACACATTTTGGGTTTTATTACTCCCACTGTTCTTATTACTTTTTTTTGAAGAGAGTAAAACCAAATGTTACATAACAGGACAGAGTCAGTCAAATCAAAAGGATGGACATAATACATAATGTAAAAACAAAATACAAGGTGATCAACAATGGTTACCATAATGCCTCTTGCTATCTTAAAAAGAATTGCCTATATCATCAGTTATAATAAAATTGAACAAAACAGTAAAGAACAAAACCAATAAAACCAAAACATTGGAGACATTAGAGGACTTCAAAAGAAGATAATAGTCAACCAGAATGGGCGTCATAGTGAATCTTACTGTCTTCATAGTTGTTGCCTATACTTTCGAACTTGGTACTATCAAGCAAAACAGAATAGAGGAGAATCAGTCAAAACAAGATGGTGAGAGCAATACAGGGTTTCAAATCAAGTTAATAGGAAATCAAAGTGGGTTACTATAATATATCCTGCTATTTTTTATTTATTTTTCCCTTAATTAAAAGGAGACAAAGGGTGATTTTAAAAATCACATTTTACAAAAAGATCCAAAGATAGCAGGAATCTGTTCAATTTTTTTGCCCTATTTTTTGCTATTCGTCTGTCTTACTGTTTCGTGAAAATTACTGGCATAATCATTGGGTCATCATTCCGGGATAAACTAATGCTATGGTTGAAAGTTGAAACATCTTCCTCATATCCCACCATTCTGATTTCAGGATTAAAGGACTAGAAGTAAAGGACAGATCCCAATGGCTGCCTACGTGATGGGTTAGCTCAGGAGGGTTGAGTTTGGAATTAGCAGTGTATACCACCTCACCTGTGCCACACCGGTCATTGTGCAGGCTTTTCAAAGCATTGTACACTTGTACATGTGCGCTTGCATGTGTGCTGTGGATGGATCCGAGGCCCCCCACGTGTGAGGCGCAGCCCTGCCACCCCAATGACCCAGGGGGCTCAGCCAGCTGTATGCAGGACTAACCCCATTCTGTTTCTTGTGTCCTCCGCAGGCGCAGGCAACAACGCTGGCTTGCTCCCCCTCCTCCCTCTCCGCCGTCGTGGGGACTCTGGATGGCCGCGTGTACTTCCTGGACGTGTGCGAGCCAGACTCCCCCAGGGTGGCCCACAAGGCCTTCCTCTCGCAGGCGCCTGTGCAGCACCTCATGTAAGCAACCCGCGGGCGGCAGGACTCCAGCCAGGCTGTCGCTGCTCTTAAGCTGTGCATTTGTTTGGAACTGTGATCTGCAGGCTCCAGTCTGAGGTTCAGAAAGTGCAGAGGGCCGTGGTGTGGGAAGTCCCTGCTCACCCAGCCGTGCCCTAGAGGCAGCCTGTTCCAGCCCTCTGCTCCCTGCCAGAAATGATCACCCAGCACCTTCCGGGTGCCAAGCCCCTCTGCTGGTGCCTCGGCAGCTGCATGTGACAGAGGAGCTGCTCTCAGTGTTAAGAGGACAGGGAGGCACTGAGGAGGCTGAGTACCTCTCTGTGGCTCTGCATTCCCCAGACAGGATGCTGTGTATGTCAGGATCGGAAGCCCCCAGCTGGACTTGGGGTCTCTGCCACTGCTCTTAAAGGGAACAAATTACATGCAAATCTCTGGAGCTCCATTACCCAATCCACTTCGTATATATTGAAAATGTTTTGTCAGCCTTCTTCATTTTTCTTTAGAGCAGCATGGTATTCCATCGTAGACATGTGTCTTCTTTTTTATTTTACAAAAGCAGCGTGTTGATGGACATTTAGATTATCTCAGATATTCTTTGAAGCAATATGTTTAAAGCTCTGTAGTAGACACCCTGAATTTGGATTTGCATGCTGCTATTATTGCTCTTTCTTTATGGTGGCTCATTGAATGTGACCCCTAAAATACGAGTCATAAAGGAAGGACTCTGACCTCTCTGGGTCAGGGAATTCGGGTTCAGACAGGGGAAGAGAAGCTTTTGCTGCATTTGCCTGTACTTACCAGGGCAGCTGGGTTGCTGTCCTCTAAGCCATTCTCACCAAACCTCACTGCCTCTAGCTGGGGGCGGGGGGTGTCTATTATCTCCTTGGCCTGGCCCCTGCTTTTCTGAGCCATGTGTATTTTGTGCCTCTTCTTTCTCCAATGTTTATATCTTATTCTGATTTGTATATTTCCACTTTTTCTAATCTGAGGAAATTATAGATATCATTTCCTATGTTTATCATCTTTCTGCTGGGTACTAGTCATGGGGTGCCAAAATGTTGCATCCATTACTAATTTGAGGATTATTTATTTCCACTTGAAATTGTAAGAAAGTTCTACTGACATAGTTCATTTATTTATGGTGAAGTAATTTTTCCTCTTGACTATATTTTTAAAGTTGTAACCTGGCATAACCTTGGCCTAGAGTAGAATGATTTTCTCTCAGCTTTCTTAAGGTCAGAGATCATTAAATACCACAAACCATAAGAATGACTGCTTTCGAATGTATCTCCATCATGGTCATTCATTCTATAAGCTGGCTTAGCATCTGGCTGGTACAGTAAGGAAGATCTCACCATTAGATTTCTTCTTTTCCAGTTATGACCAACAAGGCACATATCTGCTAGTTGGAACTTCAGAAGGAAACGTCTTTGTTATCGATGCCAAGCCCACAAGCTCATTTCAGATTCTTGGATTCACAGGTGCGACAGGATATTTATTAACTTAAAATGCTGGTCATTTTATTCCAAAGAATGAAAGGCTTTGTTCCAAAGAATGAATGGAACTATGGCAAAACAATTATTTATGGCATATTTTCTAAAAGAAAAAACCACTTAAATTACAGTTAAAAGTTACTTAGGAAAGAAGCCACATTGTATATAGAAGTGTTTGAATAACTAGCTTTGTCTGTTTAGAACATAACTGATGCTGAAGTATTTTCTAATATCAGTTATTGAATTAAATAATGAAATACCTGGCCATCTCTGATATTCTTTTTTTTTTTTTTTTTGTCTTTTTTTTTTTTTTTTTTCGTTTTTATCGGTACCAGGGATCAAACTCATGACTGCCTGCTTGCAAGACAGGCGCTTATGCCGCTGAGCTAAATCCCCAGCCCCAATCTCTGATATTCTTACAAGGAGAATTGGGGATTATTTGTCCCTAAAGCATTTTTTAAAAAATAATTTTTAGGGCTGGGGATTTAGCTCAGCGGCATAAGCACCTGCCTTGCAAGCAGGCAGTCGTGAGTTTGATCTCTGATACCGATAAAAAACAATAATAATAATTTTTAATCTTTGATAAATCCACCGAGTCTTTGCTCTCTGGCTTTAAGTATGCCTTAGTATATTTCCCCCCAAAGCATATTTATAAATCTCTCCACTAAACGTTTAGGAGAATTCCTGAGTACCTGGGAGGTGTGTGGTGCTGAACTAAGTCTCACAGGGGTGAAGGAAGACAAAGCACAGTGCTTTGTTGGGACGAAGAGGAAGCAGTTAATTCCGCTGGGTGTGAGGAAAGGGGTGGAGTCGGGCTTTGCACAGGCGAGGGGTGCAGAAGACAGAGCGAGGGGAATTAGTAGGGTCCGGGAAGCACCTGCGCATGCGCAGAGTGTGGCACATTAGTATTTCAGCTCAAGATTTCTTTGAAAAGAGCTTGATGTAGTGGATAAACGGAAGCATTTACTAGATGACGAGTATGGCAGTGAAGTCTGAAAGATGACCAAGGGCTCCGAATGTCACTCCAAGAAGTCTGGGGTTTATTCTGTGGCGAGTGGCACATCATCAGAGTTTTGAAATGAGTTGGAAGGATTTGACTTGTTTTTAGACGATGAGTCTCTGCACCAGGGTGAGGGTGGTAGCAGGAAGAAAAGAAAACAATAAAAACAAGAGAGATGATTAGAAGCTATACTAATAGAGCTGAGAATAATCATAGGCCTCCTGTAGCAGGTTTTTATGATGGACACCCTACTAGAGGAGAGCATATGTTTTAAACACTTGGCATATATAAGCCATTAAGAGGACTGAGAATGAGGCAGAAAACTCCTGTTATCCCATTTTATGGATGAGGCAGTGGAAGTATCAGTGTGAAGTTAAATATTTATGCAAGGCCGCACAGGTAGTAGCTGCCGATCTGGGATTCAAATTCCAGAAAAAAAAGGAGAAGCTCAAATGAAAATAAATTAGAAGGATGAAGAACTTTGAAAGTCAATAAGAGGAGAACAAACAGTATAGAAAAAGGGCAACAAATTTTATAAAGCTGTTGTGAACATTGGCATGCAAAAATGTTCGTGGCATGTGTTTTTACCCACAATGCACAAACCCGCACCATAGTCATGAAGAAGGAACTGACAAGCCTTGGTGTTGGGTTGTACTGAGAGCTAGGTGTGTTGGTCATTCCTGGAACACATTCCTGAGATAAATTGGTTCTAAAGAAAAGAGTTCATTCTGGCTCACGGTTTTGGAGGCTGTAGTCCACAGTAGGCTAGCTGGTTGCTTTGAGTTTGTGTGAGGCAGCACATGGTGGTGGGAGCAGGGGAAGGAAGAAGCCAGGAAGCCAAAGGGGCAGGGGTCTGGGTAAGGGTAGGCCCCACAGACCTCACTTCCTTCCTTCGGCCCCACCTCTCCACGTTTCAGCCACCTGTCCATGGCACCACAGACTGAGGACCAAGCCTTTTACTCCTAGGCCTTTGGGAGCTGTTGTCCAAGCCTTAGCATTCTGTCCCTAGAGCCTGTGGTGGTGCAGGGTATGATGGCTGGTGCAGAGGCCCAGCCTTTCTATGGTTCCTCTGCTTCGGTATTGTGTTGGGCTGGAGAGCTACTGCGCAGCGCTTAGCCATCCGGCAGGAGGAGGATCGCAGTGGCTCTGGCCGGCAGGTCCAGCTTGGATGGCAGAAGTCTGTGGTGCCGTTAACTGAAGGCAAAGGGGTTTTTGTATGCAGCTGTTCATGACAACCTTATTTACAATAGCCAAAACTGAACCACACTGCCCATCAATAGCGAATGGACACACTGGAAATCCATATAGTAGAGTATTAGCAACAAAAAGGGACAAACTACTGATACACACAATGTGGAATGAATGTCAATGAATTACACTGAGCAAAAGAAACCAAGCACCACATATTCATGTGATTCCATTTATATAAAATTCTTTGCCCTTTTTCTATACTGTTTTTCCTGTTCTTATTGATTTTGAAAGTTCTCTGTATTTATTTTTTAATTTGAGCTTATCTGTTTTTATTACTATTTTCCTTTTATTATTAATGCATAAAAGTTTTACAAGATATCGAGTTTCAATAAAACCAGAGCAGCAGGAGCTGTGGAGAGTGGAAGCCATCCCAGGTGGGCAAGTCTCTGGACCAGACTGAGCGGGTTGGAATCTGCTGGTCCAGATATCAGAAGAAATCTACTAGTTCATCCTAAAGCCAGGCATGAGGGCACAAGCTTATGATCCTAGTGCTCTGGGAGGCTGAGGCAGCAGTACTGCAAGTTCAAGCCCAACCTGAGCAGTGGGACAGCTTAGGGAGATCCTGTATCAAAATGAAAACCGAAAAGAACTGGGGATATAGCTTGCTGCAAAGGCCCTGAGTGCAATTTTCAGTACCACAGGGGGAAAAAAGGCCCGTGTCACTTACATTTAAAAGTCACTTTGAATTTGAATATCAGTACTTAAATTTGGTTCTAAAGATAGAGTGAGGGCAAGTCTATAATGTGGTAACTTCATTGGGATGGTAAAGGATTCTTCGAGTTTAACCGATGCCCAATGTGGGTTGATTTCATTTGCTTTTAGAGGTGAGCAAGGACCTTCTACAAATATCCACGGTGTCTCTTTTGGGAACAAACGTAGTGAAAGTGGCAGTGCTTTCCTCAATTCCGGAAGCAGAAAGAAGCAGGCTGGCAGTATTTACCCTGCCTAAAACCCTGCCACGAGGTAAAGAAAAATGAACCACTCTGTGTTCTGACCCAGCTGAGTTGTTGTTATAGTTCTCTATTTTAATTTGTTTGTTTTGCGACAGCATTCTATTCTCTTAGCATGGGAAGAAGTAAAATGATTCCTCCTTGTGTGGCTTTACAGAGTAAAACTTATTTGAAATGTGAACTTTCCTCCAGGCCGAGTTTCACAAACTGGCTCCATTACTAAAGAAAGGAAGTGGGGCCAGCTGACACTTCTGTCAAATTTATGTGTAATTTTGTGACATTGCTGGTTTTATGGCTTTAAATATGCATAGTTAAATTCAGATAGTTTACAGCGCAGTCACCTTTGCTAATAAAGTTGTATAGAAAGCTTTCTGGAATAGAAGGCAAGAGAAAATAGGCACTCTCGATTTTAGATGGCAAATGTACCTGGGTAGCAATTTGCAGGTATGTAATGGCTTAGTATCAGGGAAAATCTCCAAGTCTTTTTATGTTTTAATTAGTAATCTCTGTGCTATCATGTTTATTTTAATGCTGGTTCCTTTAAGTTAATTGACACTGTTAACCATAGTCTACAAAAGATATTTTACTTGCTATCAATCATAAAGATTTCTAGTAGAGATGTTATTTTAAAATCATTTTTATCACCAAATAGCCTCCATGATATTGATCAAGTATTTAAAATCCTTGTTTCGATTTTTATAATTGTCCATAATGACTTAATATATAAAATCGATATGGTACAAGTGATCTCTTTTCTTCCCCAAATATTACACTTTCTACAGATTTTGTCGACGAGAGAGGGCGGCTGAGAGACACACTCATTCATAAGTATTTGTATGAGACAGAGCACACTCTTTCTTCTGCGACCTTGAACTTTCAAAGTAATGGGATATACGGGTTCTGCAACCAAGTGCCATACATCTGTAGCTACCACCTCCCTGAAAAAGTATGCCGAACCTTAAGCACGTATGACCTTAGCACTCAAGCGCGTGTTGTGTAATTAGGCATGGTCCTCTTGACTGCTGCAACAGAATAGCCCAGTTAACAATCGATTTCCTTAAGTTAACATAATGCCTTTGAAAAACGTATGTATTAGTGTTACTTATTAATCCGTCATTAAATATATTTGAGTAACCCCATGCTTGAGCTACATTGGTGATGAATATATCCATGCTGGTCAGATAAACAAACAGATGACAAAATATTAGCATGGTGCTGTAAAAAAAAAAAATCTAATAGAAAATCGAGTTCATAGATGCCAAGGACCAGAGAATAGATGACTTTCAGTGAAATTTTGCACACGAGCCCTAAGCAAAATTACACAGAATGTCAAATGTCATTCCTGTCCTTTCACCACTGTCCACACACCCTGGCTGTGTGATCTGTTCACTGTCCTTCCGCCCTGGGCCATGCACTGTCCCAGTAATGCCTGTGTTGAGTCCCAACAGTGCCCACCTCCTTGTCTTTCTAAATTTCTCAGTCAAAACCTTCCCAGAATAGCCAGGATTAGACAATGAAACTGGAAGGAGAGAGGAGTGGTTCAGGGCAAGGGAGCTTTTAGAAGAGCTGAGTGGAGGATCTGGACTTTGAAGACAGGTCAGATTTAAACAAAGATAACGCGTGTGATCTGGAGGTGGTGTGGATACTGGGGGATGGGCAGGACTGGGGGTGGGTGAAGAAGAGCTTTCTAGAAAGGTGAGGGACAGACACATAATAAGCATACTGATTATTGACTTGTACATGAGGATATATGGACTTGTAAAAACAAGTCCATATATGACTTGTAAAAACAAAGGTTGTGTAGGTTGGGACCTTGAATGGCTTGTTAACAAATACAGAAGATTCTCTCTGAACGGACCACACAGTGTACAGCTGTAAACTCAGTGGCTGCGCACCTGATGGCTGCTCTAATGTGGTCCTTTTTTTTGATTGGCAGGGTCACAACGATGTTGTCATTCTTAAACCATACCAAAAGGTACAAAGCAAACAGTACGGGCCTGGAACGCTCCATCTGTCTTCACATGGACTGTGGCTCATAACAGTAGCTAAATGTGGAATCCTGTGTATCCGAGACATTTACACTTTGGTAAATTCCTTTTTTAAAAAAGGGGTGGGATGTGTATGTTGGTTTCAGATGAGGAACAGAAACCCTTAAATGATGAATCCGAGTTTGTTCTAATCAGCTCAACTTTTTTGTCATCATGGCCAGTATCAAGGACTGACATTTTGTGGGTGCTTTTGAGCTTTGGGTGGGCTTTCCAGTGGAAGAAGCTCTGAGCAGTAAAAATGAGATCTCCTGGTATACAGTGCTGGGCAGGACACCCTACAGGAGCTCCCTCCCACCCAGGCTCTCAACCACTTTTGTGTCCTGGACCCCCATTGAGCATCACTGAATTCAGTTGGTCAGAGGACGCTTTAAAAAGCCAGGAAGCTCTCTCCCTAGAGGGCATAGGGCCAAGAGCTCTGCTCACTTGCTCCCAGCTGGCCTGCGGGGCCTGATCCCTCGAGGGAGGCTGGCACTGCCCAAAGGGCCAGTGTCCTCCATCACTACAGCCTCCGGGCACCCCCAGTGCCACCATCTTTCCCGTTTCCACTGTCCTCAGACTTCAGAGAAGGTGAAAATAGCTGCTTCTCCCCCAGAGGAAGGGGATCTTTTCCTAGTGTGGTCAATGACTCTTCCATATTTCCCAGACCCCCCTGGGGGTCTAGTCACCCACAGAGAATTCCCCTAGTCCACAGAGAGCCTGGCTCTGGGCTGGATGCACCCCAGCTCTTTTGCTGGTCTCTTACAGAAAGCATGTTTGGGCAAAAGTGAAATCATTAAGTGGGAGAAATCTCGAGTTCCATAGAGATTATTTTAAAGTGAGGAATTAAAAAAAAATAAAGTGAGCAGTTTGCAAGCTGTGGTACTGCCTGCTACTCAAATAAGCTGTAATGAGCAGTGCAGCTCGCAGGGGCCCACCATGGCCAGGGTCGGAGTAGTGAGTGAGCCTCTGACATGCACCTGGTGCCGAGCACCTCCTCTATGAGGCTACTTTTGGTAGCGCTGTTTGTAAAACCACCCCCGTGTGCAGGAACAGAGAAATGTGTTATGATACAAAACCAGCACACAAGTGAAATATGGAATATTATACAGCTCTGATAGAGAATGAGGAAACCTTTATGTAATGATGTGGAAAGATCACCAAGATACACTGGTTGTTAAGGAGAAATATAGATTTCCACCTTATATAAGAAGTGCATGTAAGCATGGAAACTCTGAAGCGTATCAATGGTCCACTGATGTACTCACATGAGGTACTAGAGCATGGAGATGGAGAGGAGAGGTTGTGGCACTCTCGAATTTTGAGTGGTTTGGACATTTGCCTATCCATACAGTTCACTCAAGCTCATGCTTGAGAACGAGTGTGACACAGAACTCACATCTTTGTCATTAGTCAAGACTGTTGCCCTGCATTCCAGCTGGGGCTGAGGATTTTTTTTGTTTGTCTGACTGGTTTGGTTGCTGTCCCCTGGGATGTGCCCTTTGCCTCCTTCCCAGCACCCATCCCCCTCCCACATCACACCCAGGAACCTCCCTGCTTCTTGAGGGCACCAGAAGTTGCCCTCTGCTTTCACTCAAGGCCCCTGCCCTAACTCCACAGCTCCCCACCAGCCCGCCTGCTTCTGTGTCCGACTTGGGGTTAACAAGCCCTCTCCATGCTGTACAAAGTAGTGAGAGAACAAACCAACCTGGTGAGTGGGCTGGAAGTGGGATTTCCCACTGCATATTCCCCAGAGCCACTTCCACACCAAACCACTGAAGCGCCGTGGGCACATAGAAAAGATTTGCCCACAAGCAAACATGCCACCTGCTAGAAAACCCATGTGCAGAGTCGCATTTGTGACTTCTCCACTTTGTCCCCAAACTTCTTCAGGAAACCTTTGCTCGGTGCCGGAGTCACTCCCACCAGGGGCGTGGGATTCAGTCGGTGAGAATTTCAGCAGATGGACAAAGCATTCTGGTAAACGGGAAAGACGACAGCACCCTGGTCTTCCTCAGGTGGAAGTACGTGCATGCGGCGCATCATAAGCAGCCCCAGGCTATGGTGTCTAGATTTTTATTATTCCTTTAGCACAGCAAGGTAGATGTACCAGCAGGCGGCTGCTGTGGAAAAGATAGGGTGCTGGACTCCCACAGTCCCAGATGAGGGGCCACACCACCCCAGAGGGGCCACATGGGAAGCTGCAGGTGGGACAGATGGCTGGGGAATGGAAAATGTGGCAAGAGGCAAGATTCCCAAAGAAGAATTTGGCACACTTAAGGATGGGTTAGGCTGAAAAATATCAGCAGGTTCCAGACCTAGAGGCTAGGACTTGGCCCTGGGGCGTAAGAGCCCTCCAGGTGGCTAGACTTTTTTTCATTTTTGTCGGTACCAGGGATCGAACTCAGGACTGCCTGCTTGCAAGGCAGGCACTTATGCCGCTGAGCTAAATCCCCAGCCCCCAGGTGGCTGGACTGAAAGATCACGCCCGGATGAGTTGTTACTGTCTCCAGGACCTGCCTAGCTCGGGAAGGGGTGACCCTCCAGCCCCACTCCCAAGACCTTACATTTCAAAGCCTCAAAGTAAAGTACGTAGTAGAGAAAGGATAGACAGTGTAGCAGTCCAGGATTCCACAGCACCTGCCGGAAGACAGGGAATGAGGACGGTCTTGAACATTAGGTAACTGGAAGTGCTTCTGTTTATCCCTCGGAAACCTGATGTATGTAGGCATGTATGCACATGTGTATGTATGCACGCATGCACATAAGTAGGCATGTATGTGTGTACATGCGTGACTGCGCATGTATGTGGACATGCATACATTTGCTTACTAGTAAGCTATTGCTTAAATGATATTAATTTGTTTAGGTAAAATTAAAATACTAAATGTATCGGTGCTACCCAAGCATATTGATGATGTCCAGCAGGTGTCAGTGTGCAGATTACACCAACCAGACAGCCTGGACTCTCCATGTAGTGCCTAGTTTTATCTGCTGATGGACACCAGTGTGTGATTTATTTCAGCAAAAAGTATTTCCCAATATCTCCTGTGATTACAATGGTGATAAAATAGAGCTTTCTTGATAACGTTGTGAGAAATATCATGGAATGTTTGTATCATAACAATTTCGGTGGCCATTTATTCCACAGGCTCATTTGAGAACTGTACCCCCACGTCCATTTTATACATGGAATCTTAAATAAACTCAACCTTGTGTCTTATTATTAAAGAATCCTAACACATCCTTTTTAATCCATGAGCAGACAGCATCTCAGGCCACCATAAACAGGTACAGGAGGGAGAGCTATATTTCGAGAAATAAGGACACCATTAGTAATCACCTGAATTCTGATTCAAACGAAGGTTGGGTTGGAAACCTTGATCCAGGATTTATGAACCTGTGACCTTAGGCACATGGCGAGCCCTCTCAGTTACTGCAGCTCCTGAGAGTCTGTTAGAAACACAGATTCTTAGGCCCCATCCTGACTCTTTGCATCACAAGGGGTGCAAGTATGACTCTTCCCAGCCCTCCCAGTGTGAAGTGTGGGAGGCTCTAGGCGCCTTGCTGTGCCATTTGGAAATGACCCTGCTGCCCCAAGTGAGTGTGAGGGCTGAGTGTGGCATGCATGAGATGGTGCAGTGCATGTGCAGGTAGTGCCTGGTGCACTCTGGCCATGCAGGGGGAATGCACCCCACAGAGACAAAGAGGCTTGTGTCCTGGAGCCCAGGGAAGTGTTCTTCTGTAGAAAGTGGAGTTCTAATAACTGCAGGGCTCTGTGGAAAACTGTGCATCTATTTCTTCTCATAAAAAACGATAGTGCTAACTGTGATTTTTTTTTAAATTGTGACTTTGTAACTTATGTGTTTTGTTTTTTATTAATATAGGAAGCTTGGAGGAAATTTAGCCAGTGAAATTACTGAATATTGCCAGCAACTCCTAACATCTCTGAACAGCAGCATGGAGGAGGAGAACGACTGCCTAAGTGCAATGAGAATTTCAGAGTCAGAGCCCGAAGCTGAGAACACAGTTGAGTTTTGACTGCTTTGCTTGCTCTTGGGGAAGGGGCTGTAAATCAGAAAGCTTCTATTTTGTTTAAGCACCTACTAACTAGTATCTCTCCTTATTCAGGGACTGCATGATTTTTAAATAGAACACAAACTACACCTGAATGTTCAGTCTATCTCCAAATGGTCACAAATATTATAGCTAATTTAAACTATAGTGCCAGATCAGGATTTAGCTTGGAATGTTTTCTACCAGTACTGGTGCTGGGTTGAAATGATTCCGCTATACTCTCATAACACCTGTTATTTAGGAAGTCTCTGGCTAGAGAACAAGATTCATTCATTCTATCAACAAATACTCCCTGAGCTCCTGCTGACAAAGTGTTAGGCCTGTAGGGACAGGGTCCTGAATGTCTTTGCATTCTAACTGGAGGCTGGTCATATGCAGAGAGATGGATAAAAATAAGCGAATGAGTCCTATTTGGTGAACAAAATAGGTTCATGTAACAGTGTTTGCCTGAGTAGTGTCTCCAAGGAGAAAGCACCCAAGCTGAAATCTTAATTAAACGGTGCCACCAGGTAAGAAGAGAGGGGCTGGAGGGCAGGAACTCAGGGCAGTGCAGCAGAGCTTGGTGTGTGATGGGTGAGTACCCACAAAATCTGGCTGTTGGAGTGACTGAGTGAGAAGGCAGTGGAAATGAGGTCCTTGAAGTGGGAAGAGACCTGGTAAGAAAGAGCTGTGTAAATCAGGTCAAAGTCTGGATTTCACTTTGTACATTATAAGAATCTTTTGAAGTATTCTGAACAGAGGATTAGTAAGATCTTGGTTACATTTTTGTAATGACAACTTGCTGTTATATGAATAATGATTCCTGGAGGGATAAGGCATGGAGGCAGGAAGATTGCTCAACAGGCTGTATCAGATGGTGGGGTAGAGAGTGCTAGGGAGGGCAAAGTGGTGCACACAGCTCAAGGGTTGAGGGAGGAGTCGCTAGAACTCGGCAATGGACCTGGACTTGGAGGTAGAGGAAAAGGAAAGAGTCAAGGGAAGCTCCTAGATTCCCTTCCTGAACAACCATGTAGAAGACCAGGCCATTCAAGAAGTGGGGTCAATGGCAGAGGCGCAAGCAGCTGTGGGAGAGAGGAGGGAGTCTGAAATTAGTAATGCCCTGGACTCAAAAAGCCAATTTGATACCAGGAGGAGATGTTGCTTGGCCCTTTGGATTGATGACACTTGACATCAGAGGGGAGGGAGATCTAGACATACCGGAGAATCATAGCATATGGAGAGAATCTGGAGTCATCAGACTAGTTAAGGTCACGATGAAAGAATGTTGAGAAGAGAAGAGACAAGGAGAGACCAGCGTGGAGAAAGCAGCACCTCTGGGGAGCTGAGGAAGGAAGGAAGGAAGCAGGGGGAAGGAAGCAGCGAGGTCACAGGAGAACCAGAGGGTGTGACATCCCAGACTCCTCCATGACATTCTGCTGCAGGGAAGAGCATAACAATGGTGTGGTATGGACACTGATGTGTTGGTCATCCAGGAGCCCAAATATGTTTGGGTGCCTTTGGGGGAAGATCCAGGAGAGGGAGAGACATGGAGCTCCCTGGGGAAAAGTAGACAGACTGCAAGGAGGAAGGTTAAGATCCTAAGCACAGATGGCAGGGCGGCCTTGCTAGGTGGGCACGTGTGTGTGACCTAAGCACTGTATGGCCTGCACGGTCCTTTCTGCTTTCTCGGTGACTGCCCAAGATATTTGCAAAGTGTGGCAGTTAAACACGATGTTGCTGTGGTGCTATTTCAGGAATACTTTGTACTACTGGTCTTTGGAACCTTTTTATTCCTGTAATACGGACAGACCAGTCGGAATTCAGCGAAGAAAATACTGCATCTTGAGCAAGCAGATATCTGGTATCTTAAAAATGCAGCAGATACAAAGGGGTGCAGTGTAGTTCTATGAACTAAGGTGGGAGAGGACTTGATGAATTTTTAATTTAAAAAATGTCCATCTTCTTTTAAGATGTTTCAGAGAAAGCTAAGCACTGACTCATCACAAGAGGAACTGGTTGTCATTGAGATCAAGGAGGAAATTCCCTGGATACAACAGAAAAATCAAGAGGTATTTATCAGCCGTGGGCTAGGTTTGAAATGATGTTCTCTGATGTGCCAAATAGATAAAGATCCTGCGGAAACCCAGTGGACAGTTAGAAGGCTAAGTGAGACACGCCTGGCCAGGCACTGTTATCCGAGGAGTGTGACTTTCCTTTACTGAAAGCCAGTAGACGTCCGCCCTGCAGGCTGGGATTGTAGGGTAGAGAGATGAGCTTTAGGGCCAGTATTTAGGCTGCTGCAAAATCCCACAAAAACGCCCAGGTGAGTCACAGCGCTGCGGTGCCCTGCGATCAACTGGAAGCAGAGTGTCAGCAGGAGCAGAAGGGATGCCATGGCTTCAGAGCTCTCCAGGGTGAGCTCTGCACCGGGCGGCAGCAGTGTGGGTCAGTTCAGCCCACTGTGCCACCACAACTGAGTTCCCAGTCAAAGAATATGTTTTCTTTTGTCAATGACTCCTCATTTAATTTGTCACAATTACCTTCTTTGCACTGGCCGAATAATTGACACGGGTCACAGGTTGCTTCAGCGGTCACTGAGGTGGTATAGATTTCTTACTCTCTGTGTTATTACTCTTGTTAACTTTTTCAGAGCAGGACTAGTGCGTTCTACCTCAGTGTTTGTCCTCTCTCTCCCTGGCGTTTCTCGTGCTTTGTTAAATGACGCACTTGCTCCTTTCAGGCCATTGAGAAAGAAGTTAGGCAGTTTTCTCAGAAGAGGAAAGCGGTAAGAAGCGGCATCAAGGCCCTGGCCAAAACCGTAAGTGTCCGGCCTCTGACGCTGGTGCGTTTGGTCTCAGCCTGAAATGACATTTTGAACTTTATCTTGTTCAACAGCCTGAGGAGTTGCACCCCTTTTCTCTCTGTCTGTATCTGGGGTTTCCGGGGTACTGTGTATGACAAGGTCGAATGAACCATGTCACTCTCCATCGAGACAATGGCTTTTTTCTCTGTCTTTCCCAACCACCCTGCCTCATACAGTATTTTAACAATTAGTTTTATCAAAGTTATACCTTTACGTTTTATAAATATCAGTACTAGTTTTAGAGAGACTAGCTGTCCGACTAAAGACTCACCCCTCTAAACCAGGCTTTTTGTGTCTCAGAGAAATTCCTTCCAGGTTCTTGGTATCCTGAAAAAAGAATTGGACAAGACTCATGAAAAAGATGTCAAGAATTTAGATTTATTGAAGGCAGAAAAGGAGTACACGCTACAGTGTGAGTGTGGCCAGTGGAAATGGTCACAGCAGCCACAAAGATGACAGTAGGAGTCTCTTCTATGACTTGTCCCTAGATTGTTTCTCCTCCATGCAAACGGCATTTAGAACCATTGTCTTATCAGAACCTCAACTGGCCTGATGTCAGATTTAAACTGTCCTATCAAAGGCCTGCTTGGTTTTATGTCAGATATAAGTGGAGAATTGAATATAGCACTTTCTGATTGGTCTAGCCAGTTCTAGCACAGGGTCTGGGAATTTGCATAATCATCCTGATTCTGTGTTCTGGGTCTCTGTGCTTGACAGGCCACGTCCACTTACTCAACCAGTTTGCCTCTGTAATCTGCTACCTCACTGCCACCTTCCTCTCCTAAAAGAAGCCAATGCCCAACTGGCACAACTCATAGCCCTTATCAGAGCCAGAGCTCAGTAAAGGCCAGAAAGTCAGTATTCACACGACTCAGAATGTGCTTTCTTGGTGTGCTGTGTGCTCACACTGCTATAAAAAAGTCCTGTCTACAACTAAATCCCTTTCTAAATACCCCAAAACACCAAAGGCTAAGGCCTTTGTCTAGTTCCCACCTAAGGTAGCAGTTACAAACTATGAAAGATACCAGAAACTAAACCAACAAACAACAGATGAGGCCACACACAAAGTCAGCTGGACCACCTAGTGACCGCTGTTTGAGGGAGCCTTTTCTCCAGCGCTCACCCAGAGAGCTTGATTTTGATAAAAACAGCAAAACAAAAAACCAGAGGGACACCAAGTCTAGTAATTCCAGGGCCGGGGCCAAATGGACTGTACTGCAGAAATATCAACTCCTCCCTTCCTGGTGGTTTCGACAGAGAATAAATTCTGCTGGTCTCTACAGCCAGCCAATGACACAAAATCATTAAATCCCTTTACAAGGCTTTCCACTTAGAAAATACTTACTAAACGGCTCAGAGATAATTTATAAATAAGCGACTCTTTTGTAAGACTCAACCAGTGAGCAAGCCTGTAGAATCTGTCAAAAAACAACCCTCACAATAAAAATATACCCTCCTTCCATAGTGAAATAAAGCAAGAAATTCTCAAGTAAAGGGAGTCTCACCTACATGCTTGCTACCACTGAGTGGGCCAAAAGTAGTCCAGGTTCTTATGTGTAACAAGGAAAGAGTTGCTGAACACAGACTGTGTGGCATGTAGGAATTCTGTGCGGATGTTCCAGAATCATGTAATGAACGGGCCATGCCTTCTTCCCCAGCTAGTTTTGCTAAGCCCTAATCTCCTGCGTCAGTCTTACAGCTATTTTTCTTGGAGTTAGTGATTGTCTTTGTTTTAGATTTCACCTTTCTACATATCTATTACCTACTCAAAATCTCCAAATGATAGAACTATTTTTTCAATACAATTATATTCTTCGGGTAGCCTGTCTATCAACGATTCTGTTTTGGCGTTTGTTTGTTTGAGGCAGGGTCTCACTGTACAGTTCAGGCTGGCCTTGAGTTCCCTTTATAGCCCAGGCTGGCTCCAACTCACAGCGATCCTCCTGCCTCAGCCTCTCAAGGGCTACGATTACAGGTGTGTACCACCATGCCTGGCTCAGTTATTTTGTTTCATTTCTAGTTTTTGTGGCCTCCCTTGTAGAGCTTTCCATCCTCCACCTCCAGTCCAAAGACCTTGCTGTCTATGCTGATACACGGTGCTTTCCTAGCACCTGCCTTTGTCCATTTTCCTGGGCATCCTTTCACCTGGCCCTCTGATTTCTTTTGTTTTCTTGGCCTGCCTTTTCCAGCTGCTCCCTTAACAAGACTGCTGTAGCAGCCTGTGTTTCAGACAGCGCTGTACTTCTGGGAGGCCTTTCAGATAGATATCCTGCACTGTGAGCCCAACCTGCCCTGGAAAGCCGAGCAAGCTGCGTACACAGAGGCGTTTCTTAAAAATGCCTTCATCCTGGTCTCACCTTCCTTTGATGGTTTGCCCAAGAATACAATGATTCCCCCTTAGAATTTTATTTTATTTTATTTTTATTTTCAAAAGCAAAAAGAATAAAAATGATGATACAGAATCTCAAAAAAGATATTACATTACCAATGGTTATTATATTCCACATCGTCTGATTGATTTTCCATGCCCATATCTTATAATCTGAGTGACAATGAAATGACATTTAAGGTAACAATCCCCTCAGTATTTGAAAGCTTAGCCCATTGTCTTCTGGCTCACAGTGTCTGCTTTAGCGAAACTAGCCTCTTTCCGATTTCCAGTTTTTTGCAGGTAGCCAGATTTTTTATCTCTGGAAACTCACAGGCTGTCTCTGTCTCTTTGTCTCTATCTCTCTCTTTTCTCTGATGTTTGGAAGTTTTGTGGTTGTGCTTCTCAATATGTCTGATGGCTTCTCTTGGGTAGCTGTGAAATTGCACTCCCACCTTTCCCCTGCGCCCTGAGCCCCAGGAGCTGATCTTCAGGACAGCAGCAATAGATACTGTTGCTTGGGGAGCAGCAAGGAGTGTGGCGGGTGCAGGAGATCAGAGGGCAGGAGACTCTCGACAAGCTCCTTCTCCCAGCTGCCTCCCCATGGGCCCAAGCTGGCAGTGGCCTGTCCTCCTCCCCTGCACCCCTACCCAGGTTCTGGCCACTACTCTCCCCTCCCCCCTTCAGACCAAGGAGCCAGGCAGGACAACTTTAGCGAGCCTCACTGGTTCACCTTACTGTACCTCTCTTCAGTTTTCCCCTTTGAGTGTGTACTTTGTGTCCTACCGGACCCTAGATTTTTGCCTCATCCATGTGTTAGACATCGGATAGCCCTCAAAATAGGAAAACTGTCTTTCAGTTCAAGACAATGTTCTTAAATTCTGCCTTGGTAATTTCCCGCCCCTTTGTTTTATTTCCAGATTGCCAGTCAGACTCAGCACCTCCCCAGCCTCTGTGCAGACTCTGTGTTTGCTCTCCTGGGAGTTCTCTGGCCAGTTTTGCTACAGAGTTGCTTGTCTTTTCTTCTAGATTATGAGAGTTCTTGATTTTTCTTGTAAATTTACATTTATTTATGATAATTAGGGTTAGCCACTCTGTGGTAATAAACTCAAACACCCCTGGCATTGGGGTGCAAAGCCCGTTTCCTTCTTGCTGGGCACTAGGCAGTGTTTGGTGGGCTTCTCCTTCCTGCCATCCTCGGCACCTGGGGTGCTAAAAAGTGGCTGCATCCCTCCCAAGTGGTGAGGGATGAAGCAGCCTGCAGGTGCTCCTGGGCTGCTCTGGGGGTGGTCTTCACTGTTGGGTAACTGCATAAAATTACTATTTTAGCTAGTTTAACCTGCAAATGTTTTCTATAAAAAATATGGTTCAACCTGCAAAAATATTGGTCTTTTCACCTTCTCCAATGTGCATTTTTGAGTGCAAAATCTTAGAATTACATAGGCGTATTGATCATTTTTTGTATAGCTTTTTGCTTTCTGTGTCTGACTTTAAAAACTCTTCCCAAAATTGGGTGCAGTGATGCCCACCACTAGTCCCAGTTATTCGAGTGACTGAGGCAAGGAGATTCCTTGAGCCCTGGAGTCTGAGATCAGCCTAGGAAATATAGCAAGGCCCTGTCTCAGGAACAAAACAAAACAGCCTTCCACAGTCCCACATATTTTCCTCTGCTTCTCATTTAATAACACTAGTAATTTGTTTTTGCCAGTGACATGAGACATAGATCTAACCTGACTGTTTGCAGGGCTTTCTAATTGAACAGGCCCCTTGTCAGTTCCTGGATTCCTAGGAATCCAAGATTGAGTGTGTATCTTTTCCTGAGCTAATACTAAACTTTTAAATCATTACAACTTTATGTTTTTAGTCTCTTGAGAATAATTCTCCCTTTGCTCTCATTTTTCGAAAACATTTTGGCTTTTTAAACCACATTTACTTTTCCATTTGAATTTTAAAGTCAGCTCGAGGCGAGCTAACATATTTCTGTTAATTTTAATTATATCAATGAGTTTAAAATTTTAAAGATCAAATCTTAAAAGTTCAAAAAGCACAATAATCCTATAATATGATTCTTTATCCAGTAGTACATTTAGATAAACAGTCTATTTTTCATTTATTACTATCTGAAGTCTCAGAAAATCATTTAGATTTTAGCTCTTTGCTTGTTGTCATCCTTTCTTATTTCAAAATTTAGGTCATGACTATGATGGAAGAGAATGGAAAAATGGATGACATCGCAAAGTTAGACCAGCAGGAATTTTGCCTGGATCTTGAGGAGCTAGAACGGCTTCAAGATCAAAGTGGAGAAGAGGTGGCGAAAGTAAGGGACTATCTCATTTCAGCAAAGACCTAAGAAACCCAGTGAAGAGAAAGGGTCTGCCTGTGTTAGCTTCCCTCACAGCAGAACAATGCTGGCAGGGGTGTGACGAGCACAGCTGGCTTTCAGCATATATGGGCAGGACGCCAGTCCCTGGGAAGCTGGTGGCCCCACCAGTCAGGGATCCCGGCCCCTTAGAGACTGCACTGTGACCAGGCCCTGGCCAGGATCTGAACAATATCGAAGCAGCCAGAGTCTGGTCATGAGCGCCTGGGCACGGCGCTGGGCACTGGGTCTCGAGGAGCTGACCCAAGGGGAGCACAGTGGAGAATGGAGGGCTGAGCAGGCCGGGCCCGGTCAGTGCTGATGACTGATATCCAGGACAGGTGTGTCTGCCTTTAGCTTAAAGGGTCAGAAGCAAGAAAAACAAAATGCAAGTTAAAGTTATTTGATCAGAAAATAAAATCCATAAATCTGTTTTAAAATAATGGGAGCATTTTAACCACTTACCAGTCTAATCATTTAAATACAGGAAAACCAAACCTTGCATATTTTTTCATTAATTTTATAAGACAACATAACAGGAAATACAAAAACGGCAATGTTATCTAATTTATTCAATACAAGAATCGACTAGTTAAAATGGCACAGCCCAAGTGACACTCAGGGTAAACTGTTAGTGGTTAGAACCTGGGAGATACTATTCTTAGCTAGTTTCCCAAGTATCCAACCAACAAAGTGAAACATAAAAATTTTCTGGAGAGGATCCTAAGAACCAAGGATTACCGCGTTTCACTTTAAGGCCAGGTCTTTGGGCAAACCGTTAAACTGAGAATACTTAATTATTTACACATTGTGATAGAAGCAAATAAACTAATGGAAGTAATGTATGTTTCCAAACTGAAAAAGGTAAACTACCTGACCCCTTGGAGTAGCAGGGGAACGAGTACCAGGGCTCTAACTCACAACTGCGCACTTGCACGGCAGGCGCTTATGCTGCTGAGCTAAATCCCCAGCCAGAGCGGGGACTCTTTTGTATCGTGGACATGACAAATAGGCAGATTAAGTGCAGCAAAGTTGCCCAGATAAAAGTCACAAAGGAGCTCCTCAGATATGGGTTGACAAAAAGTAAGCCGGCATTTAGATATTTGGTAGTTTCACATAAAAACATGGATGTCAAACTTCTCTGACAAAGCTGGAAAAGCCAGGTGTGGGGGCACACAGCTGTAATCCCAGCATTTGGGAGGCTGAGGCAGGAGAACTGTAAAATTCAAGACCAGCCTGGGCTACAAAGTGAGTTCAAGGCCAGCCTGAACTGCATAGGGAGACCCTGTCTCAAAAAGACAAAAAAGAAAAAAAAAAGCAGAGCAAAACCAGGGGGAAAAGGGAGACTTGGTACATTGGTTTGTCTCCCTGGATGCTCTGATAGGCCAGGTTTGTGAGAACCTTATCTGGCCATCCAGCCTTCCCCCCACCCCAGAGCCTTCTGTCCTCACAGACCCGCTCCCTACACCCTCTGAGACCTTGGTGTTAACAGCTCAGTCTCCCCGACAGGAATCAAAGTCCCAGAGCTTCACTTCAAACTCTCCTGCTAGGTGTGCAGCTACAGCTAGTTAGGAATCTACCATGAGGTAAGTTTTTCTAAGAGGCCACGTTTGTATTTTTGTTGCCCTTCATGTCTGACCTTGAAGATAAAAAAGGACGTGGAGATGTATAACCTATCCAAGAAGTACTTGGCTAGCCTCATCAGAGAAGAGTGCTGGAATTCCATGGCTGTGAAAGGTCGAGCCCTTAAGGTAACAGGCGCCTCTCAAGTACAGGGTCTGAGCTGATGAGAATTTTCATTGAAAGAATCATGGCATAAAGACAGAAAAAAAAAAAACCTTTAAGGAAAATCCACATATGGCAAAGCACTCCAAGCATGCCTTGTCTCTTTCTAGACTGAATTCCACCTAGAGGGGTCAGTTTGTCTGTGATCACCCTTTCTTCTCTTAGTCTCCATGTCTGTCCAAACCAGCATCTCCTTGGGTTGGTCCCAGTAGACTTTCTGTCCTTCCACAGAGACATTTCTGACACTGGGTCTTAGCCACTGTTATTCCAAAAGGCCACTTCACTCTTGGTTCACATGAGTGAAAGGTTGGCAAAGCATCATCCACCTCTGCCATGCTATTTCTGCCATCACCACACACACACACACACGTACGCGTGCACACACACACGCACACATACACACACACCACTACTACCATCCCTGGCCTAGAGTAGTCAGCCTAAAAGTCTGTTTATTCCTGTGTCTATTCACTGGGAGAGTAAAATCCGTAGTTACCCTACAGTTACACAGTTGAGTGTTACTCTGGGGCAGGGTCTCCCAGGAGAGGCTTGTTGGGGCTGTCCTGTGCATCCTGAGATGTTTACCCACCTCCCCGACCCCTGTCTACTAGACAGTGGAATCCCACATCCCCAGTAGTAAGCATCTAAGGAATGTCTCTGGTCAATGCCGGTGTAGGGGGACAGGGACCAAGGATGAAGCTGCTCCAATCCATCACAGACGCACAGCCCTTTATACCACGTCTATGTCTGTAACAAGGACATCGTACATCATTTGATTTCACGGTTTCCACTGTCTGTGTCGTTCATGGCATAATGATACCTGAACTGATTCTAATAAGCTGTAACTTCCCCACAACGCCCTACACAGCCACGGTCACGTATAGCGGGCTCTGTTTTGTCTTGCTCTTCCCCGCAGTGCTTCCACATCCCCTGTGTGGTGGAGAACTTCCCCATGAGAACGCGCACGGCCGAGGAGCTGAAGGAGCTGAAGAGAGTGCTGCAGCAGAAGAAGATTGAAGCCGAGTGCCTTAAAGTACGATTTAAATGTGGAGTGTGTGTGTGTTCATATAACTGAGGTGATTTATTTTAAGGCCTCTCATACAGATTTAAAGTATGATGCAGTTTAATGTACATCTACATATTGTATATATTTGTTTTTATTTCTTGCTAGTTTGTGGAATATATTGAAATGAATATAGAAGCCTCTGTCTGTAGAATAAAGCAAGGACCCAATAGCTTACGTAACACTGGCAAGCTCTCAAGTATGAGGTTATGCTTTTTAAAAATGAGATTTGGAATTTTGTTCATTTTCTGTTCAGAGATTTTTGTCTCCATGTGCCCTTTTTATCTCCCTTTATACTAATAATTGTGTTTTGAGCTATTGTGTTTTAAGCTGTAGAATCTACAGTAACTTGATAAAATTATGGTTTCCCTAAAGTAATTTCAGATCTTTTTGTAAAACAACAATCTCTGCCAAACAGGTAAAATAACACTCACCCTGTGGAGTAGTATTTTTTGGCCAGAACTTTGTGGCCACTCTTTTCTGCTAGAACATAGAATAAAGGCATACTTAAATCTTCAACTGTACCTTCCAGTCTCACTGAACAAGTTCCTTTGTAAAATATGAAGAGAAGATACATGCTGAAAAGTCAAGAAAGACTCAAAATATTTACAAGCAGGTATCATCCTGACACAACAATATAACTATTATGTACTATCAAGACCCCTTTTTATTATTTTGATTCATCCGTAGTTTATCAGCCTCCAAAGATTTAATCTCTTCTGTGACACTTTCAGGGTCTATGTGTCACTTTGATGTGTGCTGTTGGCCGGACAATATAACCTCTTAAAATAACTGTTGAAATACGTAAGTCATCACAAATTGTCCTTTGGAAATCTCTTATTATTGTATAATTTCCACGGCATCTTTTTCTATCTATAGCTACGGAAGGAAATTGTAGAGGACCAGTCTACCATCACCCTGATAAAAAACCAGCACGAAGAAGACGAAGAGGAGGAAGAAGAAAAGACAGTGGTAGACACCAACCTGCCCAATTACTTGCTTGGCAGTCTGAGTACAGACTTTGGGGTAGACACTTCTCTGTTGTCAAGCCAGCTGGAACTTCATTCCAGGGAGGAGAAGATCAACCAGATCATATTATTGAAAGTGGGTGAATTTCCTTGTTATCCTCAGCAATCTCTGAAACTCTCCCTATGATGCCTTTCAGGAGCCCCATTGAAACCTGTTGCCAATGAAATGCTGCCTTTGAAGCACGCAGGGAACTATGCAGCTCATTAACTCTTGTCTTTTAGTCAAAGCTGGAGGACAAGAGTTGTTTCAGTCTGCTGGAACTAGGTTCTGAGGTAGCCGTTTTTCTGAAGAGCACTGTGTCCTAGCTAACACCATCAGCCATCCTGCTTAGCTCTTTGGTTAGCTCCTAGAAACTCTCCACCTGAATCTACTCCATACTGAGCCGTTCTGGAGGTCAAGATGTGATTGCTTGTCTGTCTGCTTAACCCAGAGAGATTCCCTCTCTTAAAGTTTCTGTAAATGTTCAGACTCTGGGCCGAAGTGTGAGGTCCCTCTGGCTCTCCGCTCCTACTCCTTACTGTCCACCAAATGAGATAGTCACAGAACCCAGCTGTGTATGCGGAAGACCCTAAAAGGCAGTGATTGAGTGTACCCAGTTTGGAATTTCAGGCTATTTCTGTTCTTTAAAGTCCTTCAGCCACGTCTGTCATTTGAGTTCCAGCTTCTTGCTGTCCCTTAGCTCTGGTTTCCTGTCCTGACCCCTTCTTTTCCTCCTTTAACCCTTGAAGTTTCGATTAACTGTTTAGGTGTCTTTGTTGCTTAGCTTCTGCTGACCCATGCTCCAGGGGCTCAATTTCCTGCTACTTTATTAAGCTTCTTTCCTACAAGGGGATAATTTCAGCCCAAGAGGGATTCTGGTGCTGGGTGTTAAGAGCACTTTTGCAACCTAATATACACAGACTGAACTCTGATGATAATGTGAAAGCAACTTCTGGCCAAGCCGTTAGCAAGAGCACGGGCAATGCACTTGAAACAACCATCACCTTAGGCATTGCTGATCCTGTGGCTACCTTGGGTACTCTTCTGCTTAAGAATGACCTGAAACCACAGAGGAAGAGTGCCGGGGAGGGCGGGGGGTGCTTCTCTGCGAGGTTCTCCAAGCCCTTTCTTCCTCTCCACATCTCCTTCAACAAGGTTCCAAAGAAAATTCACTTTCCAGCTTCAACCCTGTTGAATGCTTTCTAAATGCTCATAATGGATTTTTTAGGGCTTGCATAAAAATAGAGCATTTGCCCAATGAGCCTGCAAGTACCCCTCACCCACTTCCATGTTCATCATTGCACCTGCATGTTGAATTAGAATTTAATTTCAGAAATGGCATATGGTATAACAGGTGCCCTGTGGCCTTAACGCTTCCCATGGTCGGGTGCCACTGTAGATTGTTGGAATGATGGAATGTAAGCATCATTCCAGGGAAATTGGTTTTTCTTCTTACAAGATAATTCCTGGACTGATGTTGAAAGGAAAGTGTAACAGAGGGGTTGGTGGCAGTAGAGACCTATGCTTTAGGAAACCTGTTGCTGTTTCAGGATATCATTTACAAAGTAAAAACCGCTTTCAATAATGAGTTTGATGCTGCATATAAACAAAAAGAGTTTGAAGTCTCACGAGTGAAAGAAAGAAACGTTAGAATTAAAGAAATTATTTCAGATCTGGAGTTGGGAGAAAATGTCTGGCAACCAGAATTTGAAGACTGCGAGAAACCGGAAAGGACCCTCATCGTGGAGAATTCTGAGGTACTGCTGGCCTTGGCCTCTTAGCTCTTCCGTCCTTCTCGGGGGTCTCCCACCTCTCTTTGTTTACACTGTGGAGATGCCTGTATTGACTGGCATGCTCAGGAACAGGTCACATGACCCCAGCAATAGGGAGGATTCTTTTTGTCAGATTCCACAAAGTCAGAGAATGTTTGGCCTGGCAAGAAGCTGGATCCCAAGGCTAATGCCCTGAGAGGAATCAGAGCCCTCTTCCTTCATCTCTGAGCTTACTTCTTGGGGATTTTAGCTTTCTCTAGTAATTTCTACTTTCCGTCTCTCCCAATCAGGAGAGCGATTGGTTTGAGTTAGAAATGCTGGGTCCCACTTCCTGGGAAACGACTCCTTGGCCCCGTAGGTCCAGGGCCTGGATACAGGGGTGGGCCACGCGGTAGGGATGAGGTGAAGGAGCTCCAGTAATTACCGAGGTCAGTGATGGAAGACCTTTAACGCTCTCAACAACAAATAGCTGCCTGTGCCATGGGTTCACCCTCACTGACCTAGGCCATCGGCCAGGACAGATCCCAAAGGGGGCTTGCTGGGCAGCTCTCTTACTTCTTAAAGTATTCGCACAGAGGCAGTTACAATAATAACAATAATAATAATTAATGCTTAAAGAAATAAAATATGACCATATTTCACTTGTTAAAAGTAAAAAGACATACTGAGGATACACAAAGAAAAGCTCTTGTCCACATGAAACCAACTTAATTATTGTGGGGGAAAGCTAAGAGTGATTTTGGGGAGGAGTAGCAGATATTTTTATAGTCCCTGTGAGGTTCCCAGTACCACTCAAAGTGCCGCAGATAGACTGGGATACATTTCTAATGACTCACCTTGCAGGGCAGGTGGGCGCATTCCTCCAACTCACCGATAAGGAAAGTGAGGTATGGGGAGGTTAGTAAGTACGTGATCCCTGGTTTCTCACTAGAGACAGAGCTAAAGTCTGGCCAGCCCAGGGGCCTGCTCGCTGTGGTCACTTTGCTTGTAGGTAGCAAACCCCTGAAGTGTGCTTGTCCTTGGGCTCACATCCTACATACCTTCATTCTTCATCCTGCATCCTGCATCCTACATCCTGCATTCAGGAAAGGGACCTCGTGGGAAGCAAACCCTGGACGGCCTTGTTCTGCCCAGTCTTTTGCAGCGGCGACTCATGGACCACTCACCTCATATCACCAGCCTCCTCTTGTCCAGCCACTCTCCCTCTGTCCTGTTCACTTTTTCTGCTCACAGTTTTTTGAATGCCTCAAGCCCTTGCCCTCCTCAACCCCCATCGTTCAGGATTTAATTTAGGGATCTGAACCTACATCAAATCCCCTGATATCTCTAGAGTGATGAAGAGAAGATCTGAATAAAAAGTAAAAGGTAAAAAAGTAAAAATCTGGTTTTTCCGGCCCTATCACTCTAGACATGATGTCCACCCCAAAACAGAAAGTCGCTTGCCAAATCTGCATTGTCCCTCTAATCCCTTTAATGCCATGTAGCTGTCTCCCAACACGTGGAAGGGAAGCGAGGTCTGAATTTTGTAAGAATAATAGCAGGAACCTACATTTTCTCTTTCAGATCACAGCCCCAAAGCATTTTAATGCGTGGCAAAGAGCCAAAGCAGAACTGATTGTGGTGCGTGAAATACGTCGCTGGCTTAAGTCTCGGGTATGTGGTTTTGCTCAAGCTACCCTGACTCCTCTTTCCTGCAGGGATGCTTTTATTCCACTAGCCAGCCATGTCAGGCATTTGTCACAGCCCAGGGTGCCTTCTGCTCTGCCTCCCACACTGCTGCCGTCTTCCCCCATCCTAAGCTCAGGCAGAGGCCGCATGGTGTGGATCTCTGTCTCAGCTGCCCTGTATGCCCCGGCTCTTCCCCAGGGCACCGACGCGAGACGCAGAGGCCTGATGGACATGATGGGGGGTGTTCTGGAAGTCAAGAAGGAAGACATCTTGAAAATGGTGAGCTTTCTGGTCATTTTGAGAGGTGCAGTGGGGTGCAGAGGCTTAGTTTACCACGTTCGGCCTCCAGGAGCCTTAGTTTTAGAAATTCTACTGCAGCAAATATTAGAGAAACTTCTGATACCTTATAAGCATAGCCCAATAGGCAAACAAGAAGAATTGTGTCTTCTGTTCTCATCTACAGTGAAGAAGCCAATAAGGCTGTATCCCAAAGGCCAGGACACAGCTTCATCTACAATTGTCCAGCAATCACTGTGCCTGACCCCTGACACAGGTGTCCCTGCAGAGCTGGTGCAGGTCTAGATAGAAAGATGCCAACACACACCCAAGTCCGCAGCTTGAGCACCGGGGTGCACCGCAGGCTGCCCCCCTCACTGAGATCAGCACTGTAAACTCTGCCATAGCCCTGTAGCGATGTGTCACGGTATGGTCCTTGCCAGGGCCAGGAGCACTCAGAACGCTCCTGGCCCTTAAACAGGAGCCATGCTCCAACCTTCACCATAAGGTACGTCTGTGAGTGGGTTTGAAGTCAGCCTTTCCTCCTCTTGTCTCCAGGTGATACCGCAACCAGCTTTCATGGCAAAATCTGACGCCCTGTGGACAGAAGAGGAAAGGAAACAATTCAAAGATTATGAGAAAAAAGTTAAAGAGCTAAATGAAGAAAAAGACAAGCATAGAAAGGTCAGAAGAGCAAACATGAATAACACTAGCCTATCACAGTGGGTTTTGTTTTAATATATTTTTATATTTTTATGTTTTTTGTAAATTTTATTGATGTCTGTAATAGAATAGCTTAAGATAATGTTTGAGAAATTTAGACTGACAGCAATTTAAAATTAAAGAACATATATAGAAAGCATTTTCTAAAAAGTTGTTATTGACTTTTAACATTTCCCATGTGGCCATTTGTTCTTCAAATGTTTAATAAAAACCCATTACATTATACTGTGACAGAGAAGAAAAACTCCCAGTCTGATGCCGGATGTGTGGAGGTCATATCCCCAAATATCAAAGAATGAATTTTGAGGAAAAAGAGGTTAAAAATAGGAAAGGTTGATAAGAGAAAGCTCTTGAGAGACAAAAGGTCCTGGAAGTAGGTTGTTTCAGAAACTCTTTCTCAAAGGATATTTTATGCAGCAAAATCACAATGTAGATACAATCTGGACCAAACAACAATCAGCGAATAGGATGACAAGTATATTCACTTAGCTAATATTGGTCCAGTCGGGAAGTGGTGTATAGCAGTTTGTGGCGAGCATCATTAACCTTAGCTTAGCTCCACCTTCTAACACAGAACAATAACTCCTGCACTCCTGGAAGGGGGCGGGAGCCTGGGCCCAGATGTTCTAGTCACTTGCCCATGCATCCATGTGGTGCTAATCACAATACACCCTCAAGCTGCTGTTTCTCTCTAGGGAGAGTTGCAGGCTGGGCTCTGGGTCTCTCTGTCTTGAGGCCCAGCCCTCCTCAGATCCAGCCACAATTTTGGTATCTCCATGTTTTGCGCTGACACCCGTGAGGGCCCGATTCCCATCTGACTGCGCATTCATTTCTGTCCAGCCCAACTATCTATAATAATAGCATGTGCAGGTCACTGAGGGATCTCCCTGTCTTGTCTGCAGCTACTTGAGGTCAGTGACGCTGTCACTTGGTCTGTGCTGCACCTTAAGTAAGGATCCGAGGACAGAAAGATGCCACCAGCCAGCACATTCTTTACAGTTCTTGAGGTTTCTGCAATGTAGTCCTATTTCTTACCTTCTTCCATCACAAAGAAACATTCTTGCATGAAATTGCTTATAGGAAAGATGGTGCTGTCTAGCCAAGCAAACCATATTTATTTATTCTTCTGCAAAGGAAGTCAGACCACACCACCCATTGAGGCAGAATGGCCTGCAGCTTTACGGTGCCTGTAACTCATGAGCAGTTTCTCTGAGCCCGTTCTTAACCATTCAATTTTTATTCACTGTAGTTTTCCTTTGCATTCACCTAAAAGCCGAAATAAGTGCTCCTGGAAGAAGTAAAGATTGCTAAGGAGTCAGGGAGCATAGATGCCTAAGGAAGACAAGGATGGGGGAGCCTTCAAGGGCCCTCACTGCACTATACCTTTGCCTTGTAAAAACACCCTCATCCCTCTCACACTCTTCACGGAGTCCCAGCCTGGATTATATCAGCATGCTGCCTTTTCTGCACCTCTGCTCATGCAGTGGGTGAAGAAAAAACACTCCTGTCCTGCTCTCAGCCTCAGCGAATGCCTTGAATCTCAGCTGGGCCTCGAGCTTCTCCTTTCCCCTTGCCCAGTGTTCTCCCCAGGGACAGAATCCCAGCACCTGGGGACCTTGTTACAAGATGCACCCCCAGCGCCCACCGTGTGTGTCCATTTCTGCATGGGGAAAGGAAGGAACCCGAAATTCTGCAAGTCTAACAGGTCAAACAATCTCCAGGGTACGGGCTCAGGGTCCTGGAACTCTGCTCAAAACGCCTCTTCATCCCGCAACTCACTCAGCCCTATTTTCCAGTTCATCAGAAAAGGAGCAGCTGAGAGAAATTTTCTTCCTTCCAGACCACCTCACTGACCACCTCAGCCCATCCCACCCCGGCACTGAACCAGCCCGGCAGCCTGGCTGCCTCGCTGCTAGGGAGGAGAGCGCCCCCTACCCCCAGCACCAGTGCCCCTTTCTTCTTCCTAGGTTGGATTTTTCCCCATTGGCACAGACACATACTGTAACTTAATATTTCTTATTTTCAAATTCTCCCTGGAAGGGGGTATTAGAGTTCTTTGCAGTATTCTTGGTGCTTTTCAATTAGACTGAGCTTATTTCAAAATAAAAAAATGAAACAAAACAAAAACAGTTCTCTTGACCCCACTTTCCTCTTGGTCTCCCACCCAGTGTCTCTGCTTCCCCTTACAGCAAAAACTGAAAAAATCCATGTTCACTATCTCCAGTGTCTGTCTTCTCAATTAAACAAAAATTCTTATTATGAAAAATGCCAGGAACAAAGAGAACATGGCGGACAGACAACAGCAGCTACTGAACGCTCTCTAAAGGCTCGGCTCAGAGGCCAGGAATGATGCGGACTAAGGAGATACGAACCAGTAGAGATATGCTCTGCTGACTCAGGAACGAACTGGGCTGAGAGAATCCAACTTGGAATACAGTCCTGGCGCTAAAATAGGAACAGAAAAATCTCGGTGTGGTGGCTCGACTCCGCGCCATTGGAAACCGCGGTTTGGATTTCCCGCCCCGCCCGGCGGCCGGCTGCCTCCATAGCGGCTCAGCAAGAAGAGACGCGACCGCCGAGCTCTGGGAACGGGAGTTTGCGAACGGAGTCGGAAACGCGACAGACAGGGAGGAAGGCTGACTGGTGGCGAGGTGAGCGAGGAACTGACTCCCTACCGCAGTGTGACTCCAGCGGAGGTTTTTTCTGGGCTCGGGCAGTCCTGTAAGAGCAGGGCGCGGTGGCAACTGCAGCCGCACATTTCCCTCTCGGACGGGATTGGTGAAAGGTGCCTGGCCGGAGTGACGCTGCTGGCGGACCCCCTAGGCTGGCCTAGCCCAGATCCCAGAGCCTGACAGTGGCCCGGAGGAGCGACCAACTCCCGCGTAGGCTGCCTCCTCCGCAACTCCCTGGTGCGCAGCGGTGGGCGGGAACACCTACCCAGCGCAATTTGATCAGGCTGTGGCTGACAGGCAGGGAAGCCAGGCCTCCTGTGTAAGATTACATTTTATAAGGAACAGAAAATATGGGGAAGGGAAGCAACAAAAAAGGCTCCCCGGCCCCCAATCCTGAGAATCAGGCAATAGTGGACACTGCACCAATATACATTAAGCGCCATTTAGAGAGCCTCATAGACCAATTCAGGAATGAAGTTATCAATGACCTGAAGCTAGAAGTATGCAGAATAGTTAGAGAAATGCTAAGCACCACCCAGGAAAAAGCAGATGGTGGAATGGAAGAACAGGAAAAGAGGGGAGAATTGCTTGATGGAGAAAACAGAGAAAGCATTGAGTATGTGAAGCAAGTGCAAAGGGACTATCAAGAAATTAAGAAGTCTACCCAAGACTGGCATAACAGCTTGAAAGAAACTAAGGACAGACTATCTGAATTGGAGGGAAGACTTGAAACATGGGAGAATGAAATGAAAAACTTCTTAAAAATAACAAAGAAACACACAGCAATAATACAAAGACAAGAAGATGATAAGAGGAGCCATAACTTAAGGATTAAGAACATAAAAGAAGAAGTAGGGACACAAACAAGTGAACTACAAAAGCTACTCACAGAAATAATCCAGGAGAATTTTCCTAATTTAGCAAAAGGTAAAGATACTCAAATGTATGAGGCATACAGGACCCCAGCTACCTACAACCCTAACAGAGAAACACCCAGGCATATAATAATAAAAATTCCAGAAATTCAATACAAGAACAGAATATTAAAAGCTGTAAGAGACAAGAAACAGATCACTTACAAGGGAATACCCATCAGAATTACAGCAGATTTCTCTTCACAAACCATCAAATCACGAAGAGCATGGGGAGAAATAATTCAAGCTTTGAAAGATAATAATCTCCAGCCAAGATTGAGATATCCTGCACAACTGACCCTGGAAATTGATGGAAAAACGAGGTGCTTCCAGGATAAAGAGGAACTGGGGGAATTTGCAACCACCAATTCAACCCTACAGAAAGTATTGCAGGATATTCTAAAAAAAGAAAAATACAAAGAACCCAGAAATAGGGGCGGGGAGGCCACAACGAATGGAGCAGAGAACAAAATGAAGAAGACAAACTGACAGCTACTGACAGAAAAAGAGCTCAACAGAAATGAGACAGAGAAGATTGGATGATAGGAACAGCTTTTTTTGGAGAAAATGACATCTTAATAGGTAATGCTGATTTAGTACTATCTTGGTTTGAAGTCTCATCTAGCGTTTGTTTTTCTGTCTCCAATGGTCTAAACAGGTTGTATCTTATTGGATTTTGTTATGTACGATAGTATAAGAAAAAAACCTTTTAAAGACAAGGAGATTATACAGAGACCATTGTTCATTTTCTGTTAGTCGATTCTAAATACTCTATAACGCTGTCATTCTCTTAAATGGATTTACATTGTTTTGATATACTTAATGCTACAGTATATGAAGTTGTACTCAAGGACTTCAGGGAGGGAGTCAATATGGTAACTATTTTTGGGTCAGGATTATCTGGTGGTGAAACACTATTCTGCTTAAATGGTTATGTTTTGATCTGCCCTGTTTCGCTGTTATGCCCTCTTTTTTCTCAATCTCCACTCCATTATTTACTTTTTTATTTTTATCCATTTAATTAAAGGGAAAAATATAGCAGGATATAATATAGTAACCCACTTTGACTTTCTATTATCTCGATTTGAAGCCCTGTATTACTCTCACCATCTTGTTTTTGACTGAGGTTCCTCTATTCTGTTTTGCTGGATAGTATCAGGTTCGAAAGTTTAGGCATCAGCTGAGAAGATAATGAGATTCATTATAACGCCCATTCTCGTTGACTTTTATCTACTTTTGAAGACCTACAATATCGAGATCTGGGGTGCCCTCACTGGCCTCTCTGCGTGTCTGGAGGACTCTGGATTTCTGCGCCCAGACTGCTGGAGTTCCCTCAGGCTTCCAGGTGCAGTGAAGGAGAGAGGTGGGTTTGAGG